GCGGTCAAGAGGGATGGTGTGACCGAGGGGGGGGGGGGGAGCGCCGAGGGGGGGGGGTAACGGGCCGAGCGCGTGTGCGTGTTGTCATTCCACTTACGCCGCACGAAAGACGTATTGCATGTAGTCGATCGTCACCATAGGGACAAGGTGTCGACGTACCGACCAAGAAGGGCTATACACGCCAAGCTCACCACCAAACATAAACATCCACAACCAGCAAGCGCCACGACAAAAAAAAAAACGAACCACCGGCCGGCAACAGAAACAAGCGGCAGATACATAGACTAGATGCAACTCATCTCCACGTCTCCACACCTGCTCGTACTGCCCGGCCACAAATCTCGACACGAGGAGGTAGAGCGCCGCGCTCAGGGAAGGCGTGGAGAGCAGACAGCCGCTGACGTGCACGGGGTAAAGGTGGTGCCGGGCCCCGTCCCCGACGCAGCGCAGCCACCACGAGTCGCAACGGTTGAGGACGACTTCTCCGGAGAAAGGAGTGCCCTGCAATCGATGCAAAGCAGCGTTAAAGCAATGTTCTCGTGCTCAGATAATCAGCGTGACTGGCGACGGGCCATTTCCACGAGTCATTTGAACCCACATAAAGGATGGAAGGCGAGGAACAAGGGGAAGGCGCCCTTAACTGCATGGACAACGGCAACAATGACAAAGCCACAAACGAACACGTCAACATGGAAAGCTGCCGTGCGGTGCGGTGCGCGCGTACGCGCAAAAACCCAACGATGTGCCCCAGAAATCTGCAACAAGAAACAGCGAAAAAAAAACGAAAACAGAGACACTTTTGAGAACAAGCAATATCCGCATTGGGACCAAGAAATGGCGGTATGAGGGCTGCATGGTCTTGAAACTGAATAGCACCTTGGATTCTGGTCGTCCGGGCAGAGTGGCAGAGGGAAGCAGCAAGAAGCGGTCCTTCTCAGAGTTCTCCAGCAGCAGCGACGACGGCAGTCCCTGCAAACACACACGCACAGATCGTCGGGCGCGTTGGTACCCACATCACCATAAATTGTATCGGCTCAACATGTTTGTGCACCACGTTCAACAACACCGCAGGAAAAACATTCCCAACCAAGACTGCGATCAGAACAAGTCACAATGGCAGACGTGGAGCTAGATTGACGAATAAATCACATTTGTTTCGCCAGGGCTCGTGGGCCCTGGTCCATCGAGGGAGCCCATGGTCCAACACCCATCGCTATTGTGTCTTCATTAACATTTAGTTGCCGTTATTGTCAGCAACAACACACGTATCATAGCATCGTTGTCATCGTCAACAATGTTCCCAAGACTTGTACCTCGCGCGCAACAACAAACACAGATACTGCCACAAGTCAGCCGGATGTGACGACTACTGAAACCAGATATTCAGCTGCACTCCTACAGGTCAACCGTTTGGGGCGACTTTCGTGTGTATGAGCCATCTCTCACCTCGACAAGCTTGGTCATCTCTGCCCCATCCGCCCCGCTAATGAACATCCCGGCGTGTTCTAGGCTGTGAAGCCGCACCTACACAAAACACGGTCGACCACGGATACGCAAATGTTTGCAAGTGGTCATCTTACCCGAGGTCCTCCCAGTACTGCAATCACTTACTTGCAGCATGGGACAACGGAATGGGATACAGCGGAGGCGTCAAACGCGAAGAGGAATTCGCCCACGAAAGGCAAGACATTAAAGAAAATAAACGTTACAATTTCTCCCACGCACGGTGCGAGATCCTCCGATCCTCCAAAGATCAAGCGAGCTGTGGGAAAAGGACAAAGCAGCCACTACAACCGCAGGAAGAACAGCTAAGGACAAAGAAACGCACGTTGCATGATATGTCACACCCCCTGGACCGATTTCGAAGAATACTCTGCAGCTAAAAAGGGGGACGGTGCCGAAAATGGCGGCGTTGGGCCCGTCTAGTCCAGAGCTTTCCGAACATCATTCGATTTTAGCATATCCTCCTCTTCCCCGTGGAGCAATAGGGGTACGGAATCCGTACCAGCGGGTATGTTATCTTACGCGCCTAAGGTAGTCTGGCAACACGAACAACCCACCTTCCCTCCAGGGCCGTCGGCCTTCGCCTCGAAGCGCAGTCTCAAACGAGGGAGTTCCACGAAGTCCAAGGAGGCGGGGTCCTTGCAGGCCAGTACGGGGTCCCGCGTCCACGCCAACACGTGGCTGAGGCCGTCCAACCGCAGGAGAGCCTTGGCCAAGACCTTCATCGGGCTGCGTAACGCCAGGTGTACGCGATAGGAATTTGTTGAGAGGGTTGTGCTGATAGCAGCTCAGGGGGTTCTCAATAGTGGACGGGGGCATGTTCGACACCCCAGGGGATGCGTTGACGAGGGGGCATCGTGCATAGGATGTAGCACCATTCGGAGGAAGCTTCCACGTTCAGAACGTTTCATTGTCACGTTCATGTATCTAGCAGATAATATTGCACCTTGGCCGAAGATTCCTATTGGCCTACCGAGCCGCACAAGGAAACAAGCCGGTGGTGGCTCAGAGACAACAATCTAGAGAAGCAAAGAACAACTCCCTTTGCCACTCCTCCATCGAATTCCTTGCTCTTTCTCGTTCTCACCTGCCGTCTGGAACGAAGAGCAAGTTGAGGAGCGTCGACTGATCCACCTTCCCGCTCGACTCCCTGCCCTCCGACAGCTTCACGGCGTACCGGCCGTTCCCGAGGGATCCCGCCTCAGCCCCAAGGCCGCCCCCCCCGTTCGGGGCCACCCCGCCGGTGCCGCCCTTCAAGGCCACCAGCCCCACGAGCGTGTCAAGGAGCTCCGCCTCGGCGGCAGCCTAGTACAGTACAGTACAGCAAATAGTATGAGCTGTAGATGTCTATGATCTTGTCTTCACGTTAAAAAGTCGTCCAGGTCTCTGCTTTAGTACATACCTTTTAATACCCGTGCTGGTCCAACTGCGGACGCCTTCTGTGGTCACAGGTCAACTTGCCCGTTTCGAGAAGTCAAATAAATGAAATCAAAATGGACCCAGAAAAAACCTCCAAACGCGAAAATAGCACGTCACCAACAAAAAGTGTGCAAAACGGGAAAAGCTCCATTGAATGTAGCAATCGTTTGAGTTCAGCGGGGGGGGAGGGAGGGGGCGCCGTAGTGCAGGCTCAGTAGTGCCGGGATCGATCGCGTCACGAGGAAACTACGTAAAAGACAATTTGATTGACGCTCTGCTTCGTAGTGCGGGTGAAAATTGAACGGCGAATATCGGCACAACAAGAGCCGCCTCCCGACTTCAAGTGTCAAACCATGCAGACTAGTACCACGAAACGATAGTCGGAAATAAGAAACATAGCAGATTACTAAAAACAAATTAAGCGTGCCGACCAATTCGGGCCGGCAAATGATACGTACTTCAACCTTTGACGGAAACAAAAACGAACGTAGTGCCAAAAAACGGTGAAGACTTGAATCACCTCCGCCTTTTCAGCGTCCATGGCACTAGTTCCGCCGCTGCCGCTTCCGACCGGCACTAGAGGTTGTTGCTGCTGGCCGCTACCAGCGGAAGATGACATCGAAGGGTCTGAGGAAGCCGATGGCGGCGACGAAGACGATTCGATCGCGTCCGGAGCGTGGACCTTGGCGAGGTGGGGGAGACTCACGTCCGGGAAAACGACTCGGGTGATCACGCCGAAGGCTTCGCTGTGGCCATGCCCAGACTGTAGTGGTGTTTGTTTGTGTTGGTCGGGAAAACAACGACGAGGAGACGGTGGACGGGACATGAGGACACGGCAAGGTGAGGGGCAGGCAAGAACGGAGAGAGAAGAGAGAGAGAGAGTGTGTGTGTATGGGTGTGTGTGAGATAGAGAGGAACGGACAAAGCAAGAGAGGGATGGGGAGAGGAAAAGGGAAAGGGAGAAGAGGAGGACGGCGACAAGAATAAGGGGTAACTAACGGATGGAAAGGGAAACGGAACTGGCAAAACGATAGGGGGAGAGAAAAAAACTACCAAGGATAGGGAAAATAAGAGGTAGAGCATTGTAGCGCGTGTCTACAGCACTGCTGTGACAAACTTTTCACGAAGGTTTCCACATCATTAGTTCGGCACTTCGTCAGAAAAGGCAGGAGCCGCAGTACAGCAACAGCAGTACCCAAAACAGCAGCAACAGAAACCCTTGAGCTGGGAAAGCAGGAAGAAACCAGTAGAAGCAACAACAACCGTGGCAGCAGCAAGCACTATGCTCAAGGTAACCGGAAAAATTCACTCGCCTCATCCTTCTTGGCCTCCTTGAAGAGCCGAATCTTGATGAGAGTCAGCCCCGCGCCGCCCCCGACATCACCCTCCCCCTCGCCGTCCTCGAGGCTGTTATCGATTGCTGTGGCGGCGGTCTTCTTGTTTGTGCTGTCACCGTCGTCTCCTCCATCAGTATCTTCCTCCGTGTCGCTGTTGTTGCTGTCGTTGAGGTCAATGGCTTTGGTCCCGGCCCGCTTGTAACGGTTGAGCTTGGACGGTACTCCGACCAAGCTGTCGTCCTGTGGAAAGGTATGCAACAACCACGAAATACAAAACCAGGAGTAGTACCTCGGCGGTGAGTGCTGAGTTGTAGCAATAGCAAACATCGGAAGAGTATCATTTCGCGAGACTGCAACATCATCAGACAAATATCGGGGGGAGATGTGAACGGAGGCAAGTTCGAAACCAAGCACAATCTAGCCAACACCCGCCTACCGCATGAATGAGGTACAACGACTTTGGTAGACCGAACCTCAATCGCACTAATCTAATGCATATCCATCATCACAGCGATTCAGCTGCATCCTATCATCCGGTTCATCATCCACGCAACACCCCCAGACAATACTCAGCATCAAGCACTTTGAACTCAAAGGATAGCATCTGTCTCAGCACACAAGACTGCACAACCACAGAACAAGATACCGCAAAGCATCGCTGCACCTGATACTGCCAGAAGTGGAAGGATCGAAGCAGCACCTCTGGCACAATGCCCAGCAGCAGGCGGGCCGGGATTCGGACAGAATCCCCCGCACCCTTCACCTGCGAGGGCAGATCCGAGCGAACAGAGGTTCACAGAGGCGTTAAAGAGAGGAATTGATTCACGGATCAATAATCAAAATTGAGGCGAAAAAGCTATGAATACATGGCGTCCTGAAAATCGTGATTCAAGGTCAGGATAAAGAAAGCAGCCCCGGCGCGACTACATACAGCAGTAGCTCGTGCAGAATCGATCTGAACGACGAGGTATGCTACCATTCGAATCAACGTTATCGCTGGTGAACGTGGACGTTATACCTCTGCGGCCCTCGTGATAACCAAAGAGTTCTCCCTGAAGGGCTTGGACAGAGGATCTCCCGCTGACAGGTGAGCGCCGGGGTCGTCGCGTCGGCTTGCCTGACCATCGGGGGGGGGGGGCGTACTCTTGTGTTTTTGCATGCCTTAGCGGTTAGACCATTGGTTAGACCATTGACCACACGTCCTCGACAGGATGGAGCATTGTTCCTACAGGACCGATCACCGATGGCCAATCGTTCCTGCCTACATTGCCAAAGGTGGTTTAAAAATGTCTTCCCTATTCAATTTATTCTATCGGTACACTTCCCGCCTCTTCAGACCACTTCCAATGCCCCAGGAGGGGGGGGAGAAAAGAAACAACAAAAATATTGGAGGTTGAAGTTTCGGACGAGGGTTAGAACAAAAACCGAGGTCGTCATGCTGGCGGCTCGCCTGACCACGAGGTGGAAGAATTGAGACCAAGACATAACTGTCAGGCTCAAAGGGTTAATTCCCTGTGTCGTAAGCTAAAGAAGGAGATCAGGTGCCGTCAAAAATGCGCACCATTACTCTGAACGCAACACTAACAGCGGCACATCAACGCCCACGAGCTTCTCTCACAACACCTCGAACGATATGGTCACGCGTTCCGAATCGAATCACTCAGTCAGTCAGCCCGCCGCGAGTCTTATTAATTCTCACCCCGGACGGTGGGCTGGAGACGAGCGAGAGAGACGCGTCGGACGAGAATGCGAGAGTCCGGTAGAAGCGTCGGCCGTGCTCCACAACGTCAAACACGTGCACCACCGGAGGGTCTTTGGCGACAACCACCTCCTTGAGGTACTTCACTTCCCTCGTCACCGTCTTCGCTTCCTCCTCTCCCTCCGCTGGCTCCGCACCTGTAGGGCGTTGTTAATGTTGTGCCCAAACACACCCATTTCAACACGGGAATGGCAACTGTTGGTGACACGGCCCATGTCGAGTTCTGCTCCGGTTTCTATTGACCTCTTCGTGTACAAAACAGAGAGCGCAACACCACCACAGCCTTTGTTGAAGCACCATGCACAGCAGAGCAACTAAAGACCCATACCCGACGGTTTCCTATGAGACTAAAACACGCTTGAGCCTACACCCAATGAAGCCACAGACTGAGTACACGCTGTATCGACACCAGCACGGATGCAACAAATAGTAACACAGTCCAAAACAGTACCAGTCAAGGCAAACTCTGCACCTCAGCGCGCATCGTGATGCACTGACTCTTCGGCCCTTATCCTATCAACCCTAGTATTCTAACACACCATGATGAGCTGGCTCCTTGACTTTAACGACGTGATACCCAGACAGGTGGGCGAAGGTGTGGGAGTCCGTGTAGGCCCCCTGAGGCAAAAACAGCCTGAGGTCTGGGAAGTACCTGGCGTACGGTGGCAATGAAAAATGCGCACCAGATAATTGGAACGCCAGTCAGCACCGCCCGTACAACCGTTACGTCAGCACTATCGATACCGAGAGACTGGTTCAAGGAGGACGGACACCTGACGACCCACACGGAAATTTCCGGGAGAATCAAGCCTTCCAAGTCTTGATCCCGAGTATGCATGTGTCTCATGTCGAGTCGAGGGAGTATCAAGAAGAAGAGACAGCCATAGCGACGGCGGTCGCTGCATACTTACGTAGAGATATCTACTCGCAACTGGATTTATTCCCCACCTCCAATAACAACACAAACAACAACCGCACAAACGCGTATCTCTTGGTGTCCACGTGCCCAACGACAACGACACCACGGAAGAAGAGCCTGCAAACTGACGCTATCCGAATAAAGGAAGGGACGAAACTGCGACATACACAGCGATGCCTACATAAAAAAAACGCACCTCGAGCGCACGGGTTCCAGCACAGCGGCGACCCATGCCTCTCCCGCTGCCTCCTTCCCCGTGTAGGGCCGCTTGTACGCCAGCAGAGGGACGCGAGTGTCCATGTCCCACAGCTGCACGTCGTGCCGACGTCCTACCAGCCTCAGCCAGGTGCGACGGGTGGTGTTGAGCACCTCCGCGCACCCCACCGTGCTGTCACGACGACGCCAAAATTGGGTTCGTTATTGCCTTGGTGGCACTTGTTGGTTAACGATAAATGTTACTGTCGCCGTGCGTTTCGAATGAAAACGCCCCCCCCCACCCCCTGGACCGATTGCTACAGCTCGGTTGCTACGTAGTGGTGTGGCATGACGTTGTGATGCTATAGCGCTGTGTTCTGCAGGCAAGCATGAGGGCGTCGTACTGGCGACGAAATGTCAGAGGAAAATTAAGGATAAGCGGGGAGCTAGCCCGTCATCGGACCCACAGGCGTGTGCTGCCATGTGCTGCCAATTGTAAGATGCGAAAATAACTATTGGTGATCAGTTTCTGTCACGTGGTGATCGCAGTATGACGGTGCGATCTGACAGGATACGGATGGACAGATGGAGCGAAAAACTCTTCCGACATCCGACCAGCCCCAGGTACAAAAAAAGAGACAGCTACATCTTCGTTTAGCGTACCCCGTTGAAAATTGCCGTACGTGGCCCAAAGTCGAGTTAGATTGCTCGAGTTAGCCCTGGGCAGGAGGCAGAAACGAAAACACCCCCCTTCGGGAACCCTTCTTGGTCTTGGTACGAACCGTCAACTTGGCGCCACTAAAGTCGTGATTTTCTGGAGCTATATATATGACCGTTGTATGATCGTTGAGGCCCGATTCCATTAGCTGAGAGAGGCTGGCGGCGTGTGAGGCACTCTTGCGTGCTAGGGGGTACGAGTTCGTGGGAGCCTAAGGGTTTTCAGACACCTACGTCGCAATGTCGCTTCTCCGTAAACCTTTCGTTTGGGTGAGTTCCAGCAGCCTCCCTACATCCCCGTGAACGATCGTTGTCGAGCAATACGCTCATGCTGTAAATGTGTGTATCCCTGTCCTCGACAAACAAAAACAAGAGGCCTAGTAATACGTTCAGGGAATGCTTGCAAACGGCTGCCGTCGTGTACGTCAAAGAAGCAGCACTTCCATATGTGAAAAAGCAGAGCTGCCTGCAACGCTCTAATGTACTTAAGCCGCCAGTGACCCTGGGACGTACTAGCAGCAGCACCCGCCGCAGCCGCAACAACAACAACAACAACAACAACAACAACGACCACAACAACAACAACAACAACAACAACGACCACAACAACAACAACAACAACAACAACAACAACGACCACAACAACAACAACAACAACAACAACAACAACAACAACAACAACAACAACAACGACCACAAGTAGCAACAGAGACGGTTTGTTGGTGTTGTTCACCTGGAAGTATCTTCCGCAAGGCCGAAGATGGACTGGAAGTCGGGGTGTTCCTCGATAGACCGGGGAAGGGTCTCCATCGTGTGTCGGCGCAAGGTAAACTCTCCCAGCTGGGTGTTCACCTGAACGGAGGCATCGGTCGCAAGGAAACGGTTTCAAAATACCGAGAATCGGAAGAGTTACACGGTTGACACACCGTACACACGTCTCAAACGTGTGTCTACTCTCCTACCTACGCGGCGTCCTTAGCGGAAGACAGAAGATTGGTTTACATCACTTTCCAAGGTGGTTGGTTTCATCGTTCGACCAAGAGCCGACCAGCCCATGTGAGTCACACGCACACCAAGAATACAGGCGTTTGGTTGAAACGGAAGCAGTTTTCATTAGCCCTTTTTATTGGCCATCGTAGCCTTTTTTGCAGCACCTCCGACAAGTTTTTAGTCCGGCAGTGAGACCGCGAAACCTCGTAGCGGTCCAAGTGTGCCGTGACAATGGACCACCAGAAAATTCCGGAAATCGAGTAACTCCGTCGACCGATGCAATACGCAGGTGTACCTCATTAGGTCATTGTCGACTGTGTGCGTCACATACATCGCACACACCTCAGGCTCGTCGACTAAACCATTTGTCCAAAGACTTCCACCGAGCTACGAAGCTCAATAAAGCCACTGACCTCTGTGTCTACCGCCTGAGTCAGCCTCCTGAGATACTCTTCGTACGATAGCGCCGCCGATCCTTCCAGTTCTTGCTGCGCCAGCTGATGCCGCACAACTTCCGTGTCGGGCACGAATCTGGTCGAGTGATTTTATGCCGCAACATATGTCAAGGACAGCAGGAGTTTCAGCTTGAATGGCATTTGTTGCGAATTGGTGAGTTGTTGTTGTTGTTGTTGTTGTTGTCTTCACATTTAAACCATTCCGGTATCCGCTCAGTACCTTCTAATATCCGTACTATACTATACTATACTATACTATACTATAGTATACAACTCACGCGGCCGCCTTCCGTGGTCACAAGCTAACTGCCCCTAATAGGGGTACACCTCTCTAAAACTAAGAACTGGACACCAGAAAATTCCTCCCATGCGCTATTTGTTTTTCTACCCAAACGAAAAGAAGAAAAAGAAAACAACCAAGGGAATAGGTTCCTACCCGAGGTACAGACGATCGACCCCGGTCAAAAAAGGGATGAAGGAACAAACGACAACGACAGAGAGAAAAAGAAACAGGGAAAAGAAAGAGAGAGAGAGAAAGACAACGGAAATAAAGTGGATCACTAAAACGATTGATTCGACAGAAAAAAAAGCAGCGTCAAACATCGATTCGACTCTGACATGTAAAGTGACACAGGGCATTGTACAAGTACATCAAAATTGTGGCAACATACCGCCTTCCTCTGCATCCGGCACCTTCCATTCCAACAATTTCTCCCGTGTGTCGGCCACGAATAGCACATGGCCGTACGCTGCACCGGATCCAACGCCTCGCCCCGACTGCGCCTCTCCTCCCTCTTCACAATCAACCCACGACGCGCCAATTTTGGCGCTTCAGACGCGCAACTGCAACCGCAGCACAAGCGGTCAATCCAACCCCACTCGCCTTCCCCTGCAGTTGATCCTCTGGATGCTCTCCCAGTGTCGGTCCTTGAAGAGGACGTCAGTCTTACGAGAGAGCCCGGTGCGGTCGCCGGTGAGGGTGATGACTCGAACCACTCCCTCCAGAACCTTGTCCGCGAGGAGAGGGTTGGCCTCCATCCACTGCAGAATCTTCACCCTGTGCGCCACCGAGTACATAAAAAACAAAAAAAACAAGCAAAGCGAAAAAGGAGAGTCGTCAGTCGGACATGGACTTTAAATGCGTCTATCGAAGATGGAGATACATAGGAGGGGCGGGGGGAACAAAAAAAAAACGAGGGGAGAGCGCCGGCTCTTCTTCACCGCCAAATGCGTGGGCCGTGGCGGGTAAGACACTATCATCGACAGGCAAGGCGGGCACTCCCACACTTTGGCCAGCGTCACAACAAAATAATCCGTTATTCTATATAGCAGCACACTTGACATCAGTCTTCAAAGCCACTTTAAACCGCCTCCAAAACTTCAACAAACGTTGGACCAGAGCCCCTAAAACCTGCCCAAGTTGCAAAGCGATCTTTTCCCACACACAACCGCAGCACAATCCAGCAAAGCCGCACCGGTGCTGCGTGATGATCTCGAACACCTCGGTCGGAGGGATCTGAAGCGCCCGGCTCATCCTGTCAATCCCGCCGCCGGTTCCTCCTCCTCCAGACGCCCTGCGAATCCCGTCTGCTCCGTCGACGGCCTCCAGATCGAACCGGTGGTGCACCATCAGCCAAACCTTTCATGGTACGACAAAAACAACAGCGTTCGCAAAAAAAATAATTGTTGTCGTAGGAGAATGTATTTGTTGAACTGAGGATGCAGAGACAGCAGCGGGTGACTGCGGCTGCAGCTGCGGGCTTCTACCGCTACTGCGTAGATGTCGGAAGGAAGGGCGTCCGGCAAAGATTGTGACGACCTTCGACAACAAAAATAGAGCATTCCAAGCATCCCGAGGAAAACTGCTATGCAGGGAGAACACAACGTCAGGAACAGCCACCTTTGTCACACTAGTCTTCAACGGGACCGAATGTAAACCCGCCGTGCCAATCAATCGAAGCGTTGGGATATGGAGAGTAGATGGGAGCCGCGCGATCAAACAACCGTTCGAAACTAGCTTGCAGTTCTAAGTACGGAACAGATTGCTCTACTCAAAAACAAACCTGTGCGGAGAGAACAACAGAGGCCACCGTCTTATTGACGTCATCGACGCCGAGGTTCTTGAAGAGCAGCAACAGGTGCGCGTGAAGGATGCAGGCGACCTTGGTGTCTCCGTCCCTAATAGGAACCAACCCACAAAAAAAAAACGACAACAACAAGAAGGGATGGCGCGAAAACCCTGCTTTAGAACAAGGCGGGTATTGTTGGTGACAGAAACACTCTTAGCGACCCTGAGGTATTTATTGGTCCAGCCCCGGCGATCAAACCACGAAAACAATGTCCTGCGGGTGGTGCCAGGTCCATGAACATCGAAGCATGTACAGCAGTAGTCTTACCTTGCTGCTCGCTTGAGCCACCTCTCCAGCACTGGGAACGCCTCGCTGTTCAGTTTGCGGCGCCATCGCCCCTGCGCCCTAGCCAACTCGTCCAGCACGCGGGGGTCCCTGCGAAAAGTCAACGCCAATGACGCGAGAGCGAAACAGGGTTTTCAAAAACTTTGGCCTGTGGCCCTCCTCGTCCCTCTGACCCCTGGCCCCCTTCTTGGAAACAGAAAAAAAAAAAGAGAGCTCCTTGAATCATTCTACCTGGCAAAACGACACTCTGGTACATCTTGGTCATGTCTCACATCTTTCGCGTGAGTTCATCATCTTTGTTTCACCTGGAACACTTGTCTTCTGACCAACTTGGCCCGACAAAGTGGGAGAGGACGAGGCCACTAGCGGCCGTCACAACAAAAACTGTACAGCAGAGCTCTCACCGGACTTGACCACAACATTGTCATAGAAAGGAGCACGAAGAATACGAAACACCACTATCTTCGGTCCCCGAGAGATTACAAAAAAAGCACGCCCACCTGTCCTCTCTTCTCAGTCCTCTGGTCCTCCGGCAGCGGCCTTCGTCCCTCAAGAAAAGGAGGAACCCTTCGACCCTCACCACCAGACGGAAGATGTAGAGAATCAGGGGGCTCTGCGCGGGTGTGTATCGACCCGTGTCCAGCTCGAGGGCCGTCTCCAGCATGCAGTCCAAGCTCGAAAGCAAAATCTGGAGGTTTCACACAAACCAAAAGACAAACAAATGAAGAGTGCTATGGTGTTTCATGCCAGTACAAAATACTGCATCAACTAGGTGCGTAGAGTTGGATATCGCCAGCATGGTCTTCACGAAACCCCCATGTACGGGTAGCTTGAGGAGGCACGACAAGCGTACTGGCCGAAATCGACGGCAAGGCGGAACAGATGGTAGATGCTATCAACAACACCAACACCAACACCAACAAGCATCAACAGCAACGCGAAACAGACAGACGTTAACAGCAATAACAGCCACAGCAACAACAACAACATGATCAACAACCTGACGTGCGTTACCGCGTCAACATTGCGGAGTGTGCACGCATACCTTGGGGCTCTTGAGCAGCTCGTTGAAAAGCAGGCCGCACGGCGTGGTGAGGTGATCTCTGGTCTCCGCCGGAACATGGGTCGGTATTGCCTTCGTCTCGGCGGCCTGGCATCATACGGTACGGTACGGTAATCCGTCACACCACAAAAAAGAAAGATGATGCAAGCACAAACAGTGTAGCAGCACATCTTCACGACGCATTTCACATGAACTATTAACAGTCAATCCATTCTTCCGAGCGAGAGGGGCACTGGCACTGATCGGGTGTTAGGACTTGCTGCTGTGCACAGCGCGAACAAAGTGGTACGCTGTAACAACCCACCCCTAACCGTAAATCGTACGCGCCCACGAATGTTGCCTCCTGTACAACGGTTCGAACAGTAGGTAGCAAAACGCCAACCTCAACCAACCCTTAAACAAAAACCGTTTTATGTCTTTTGTCAAGTCACCTGCCACTGTGCCGGTTCGAAGAGAGAGGCGTCCAATACTTCCTGCAGATCCTCGCTCCACAACGCCTGACCAACAGAGGTCGCCGCAGTCAACGGTGTGCCAACGAATTTCATCCGTGACGTCACGACAAGAAAAAACAGAGCGGGATGCACATCAGACAACGGGTGGAGCACTAACAAGTGCAACGAACGAACAAACGGCACAATTACGTTGTCACCCTAACCATCTGGTCGAGATTTGTACTTCATAGGTTCAGTCGCGAATAAGACGAAAATACGAGCTGGAGCCCCTACGACGCCCTCGGAATGCTTCGCCAGGGTTCGCCGCAACAACGCGAACGCGCAACGTTCAACATGGGCGTGCAGAAGGCCGCCTGCAGTCGTAAAGAACATATTCATTTGCCTGAGGCTCGTTTCGTACGTGTTCTGGGGGGTAAGTAACCCAACAGCGACAATAAACTGGTAGCGTAGCATTGGACTCTCAACGGAGCACCTGTTCTCAAGGTCAAGCGCTTACAAAGTAAGTTTCGACCCTTTTGAGCCTCAAGTGCTTAACTCCCACGTGCTCCTAAATATGGCGCATCCTGTTTGGCACACGATCTTGCGGATTGTTGCTATTGATTTTGGAGCACGACAGTTTCTGCCTGACTGCATCAAATGGGCGACGTCCGGGTGCGGGATGTACTGCCTGTTGGCAAAATACACCATGTGTAGCTGTATTTCTACATCTTGGTGGGGGGGGGGGGGCGGCAGCAGTCCATGCACACAATATCATACCTGCATGCGAACGGGGTCCGCGAAAAACTTGATGACGAGGGGGATCCGCAAGTACGGTACGGTGAGGTACTGCAGCATTAGCTCGCAGTCGCGCGACCGGAGTCGGTCTCCGAAGTCTGGCAGACTCTGCATCACGGCGGGAAAAAAATAGAATCGAAGGAAGACGATTTAGAGAAAGAAAAAAAACAAAACGCCATCCAAGTCTAAAACTTTGCTACATTCTAACAGCGAATGACATTGCCCACAATATCCGCTGTGGGGGTATCTGACATGGTATGATATGCATTGGATGACGTTTCATTGTCTTCGCCCGCAAAACCTTGAAACGTAAATGTTTCCCCGGAGACCGGCAAAAAAACAAATAAATGCAGGGTATCCACATGCGAGGCGATGCAAGCCGTAGGGACTTCATCGCAACCCAACTACAATAGGCACAGATTTACCGGCCGCCTCTCTCTGCTATGTCCAGCGGCTGATAGAGATGAGATAGCAGCACCGTCGGTAGCAGAAGACCTAACACGAATCAGGGCCTCGCCACAAGGCGCGTGCATATCACCGCAGGACCCCCCCAAGATCAAGCGGATGCATTTTGTATCTACTGCGGTCGTTGGTGCAGGTTACACCTACAGCGCATACCTGTACGTGCAGTACGTCGTCTTCACTAACTACGGTCGTGTGGGACACCTACAGTACATACCAGCATGTGCAATACGTCGTCTTCATTACCTACGGCCGTGTGGGATACAAATACAGTACATACCTGTACGTGCAATACGTCGTCTTCGTTGTCGATCCTCTTTTCCACAAGGTTGGAAGGGTTCGCCCCAGAGGGAGGAGCGCGCGTCTTGGACATGTTCATCCCCTTCAAGAACCTGCCGACCGCACCAACCACGATGACCACGACGAACGGCACACCGATTTGAACGGGAGGGTAGAAAAAAAATAAAAAACAGAAGAAATTGGCATGGTGCGCTTGAGCAACAACACAAACCGAAAGCTTGGAGACGGACGGTATCGCTGGTTTACGAAACAGACGGAAAACACGCACCAACACTTAGGTACCACATCGTACCCAGTGTGGTACTACCTGCAACAGCACCACCTGACGTTTACAAGGAGACGAAGTCAGCGTCTCGGGGCATCAAGGACTGTTTTTTTTGTTTTTTTTTTGTCTTGACTTCAAATCAGCGCTCACAGCACTGGTGCCGTTTACTCCAACCCGTGGTCACACAGAAGAGCCCCTCTCTACCCTCTCCTCCTGCGGTACTTTGCCTTCGATTTTTATTGAGAGAAGAGTTCAGCACTCTCTTCCCTCTGTGTACACACGAACTAGCGCTATCCACTACGCCAGGAGCGGAAGCGAGAGAAAACTCACTTTGCAAGAAAAGCTCGCTTACGCCGGGATTCGAACCCCTGACCTGACCTCTAGAAGGTTTCGAGAATACCAACTAGACCACCGGGGCGACCGGCCTATACAGCAGTGTGACTACCCTCCTATAGGTGATCAAGGCAGGACTGTTCTACATTACAGTTAGTATATGGCAAAACAACAGTGTCCTGACTGTACACCCAATTGCCGCATATATAAAGTACATCTCACTTTCGGAATGCTGCAAGAGCGCCTCTCGAGGCCTTCCCGTCGTCGTCGATGAACGCCTGGCAGTCCAAAGTGTGCCCACCGAACCCCTGAACAGGACAAACACACACACACACCGGCAAACGACAAACAATAGCATTGGGTTCACACGCCAAAACGACCAGTGGAAGGGAAGGTGCGCACAGATCGCACGTATGCACAACTTTGCAAAATACACGGAGTGTTAACATGCTGTTGAGTTGTTGTCCTCGTCATTATGTTGCTCTACTAAACGTGTCTGACCTCTACTTTACCAACAAGACAGTTACACTTGGAATCGATCAAAACCAGAGGAAGGGCGTCAAGAGCGGCATCAACACACCACACGAGCGAAAGACAAGAGTACGCGCTCAGTCGCACGGCGTGTTGGATAACAAGCAAAACCGGGTCAAGTTGACGTAGAAAACATGTAGGATGTGACCACCTCCCTCGAAACTGGCTGTGTCAGAGGTACGGTGCGCATGAAATACGTGCATGGAGGTAAAACAACGAGAGCCTGCTTACTTTGACGATGTAGCCCTCGTCGACGCTCTTCCAGCTCCAGTGCAGCCGCGCGTCCGCTGGAGTCCAAGCTTTAATCTGAGAAACGAGCGACGGCAGGGAAGAGGAACCGGATGGAGAAAGGAACCTGAGAGTGCTCTCCTCGACGGCCATTCCACAAACTGGTGAAAAAGGTCAAAGAAACCGGTGTGGCCCACAACAAGGACTCCGGTAAACCAATCCATTGTCAACAAATGCCTGCACATCTACACGAAAACAGTCTAGTTCCTAACTCGTCTTGTCCGTCTGCCGTCTCCGCGGCGAGTAGCTCTAAAGATTAACGCCGAAGGACACGCCCCACACGCAAACATGCGACTGATAATGAGGCCGACCTGTCTATCGATCAGTAATCCTCAGAAAATATAGAAGGGGGACAGACACCCTGCGTAAGCTTAACCAGGAAAGGTGCTCAATCGATTAACGCTCCGTGAAATGCACAAACCTCGTCCCGAAGAGATGCAAAAGGATCAATATCACTGCAACTCATGACCAGATACTCTGGGGCTGCTACCACAGCGTCCACCTTTACCTACCAAGCAAACACCCCCATGTGATTGATCGCCGTGCAAGCATTCACAGAGGTTGAGGGATTGTGCAATTGACAGTGATAGAAGACGAAGAATGTTATGGTACGGGGGGTGTAGCATATTTGGGGGAAAGCAGGTACCAAACACATGACCGCCGGGCAAAGCCGTCAAGAGAATGAGCGTTGGCGCTAGGGCTAATAGACGTATGTTAGGGGAAGTGGATGTAGCGTCTTTTGGGGAAGGCAGGTGCGGTACATACCTCTGGCAATGCGTCCGATGTGGGCGCCATGAAGGCCTTGAGGAGGTAGACGATATCCCGAAGGTACCCAATCTCTGGGTACACGTCGAGCAGCTCGGGGTTGTCCCCGGAGAGGTATAGCCACGGCTCATGCCGGGAAAATCCCATATGCAGGCAGATCTGACACGACCAGAGGCGGAATGGCTCGAGTGAGCGGAACAACATATTAATTCCGTTCCATCCCGTCCCACTTTATTCATTCCATTTAAAGCTCTGCGTCGGCCTCTGCTGCTGCACTCTGCTACGACTCTTAACACACAGACCTTGCGCACAGATAGAGAATAAAGGCAAGCCGAAAAAACACTGCTCTCTAACAAACGGTCAGTGATAGAAGAGGATCATATTGTTGCAACATGGGCACATTCTTACACAAGTGTGATGACAACAATACCTAATCTGCACTTCTATACATGGTCACGGGTAGAAGAGGGTCAGATTGTTGGAACATATGCAATTCTACAACTGTCATGTGACGACAACAATACCTGGTCGGTGAGGGCGAATTCTGCCTTGGAGAAGGTCATACTCCGCTCGAACGAAAACAGAACGTGGTCTTCCTTCAGGCCCTCTCTCTGACGGACGAAGTAGTCCAGCACCTGGCACCGCACGGCCTGGAAAGCTGCACACAAAAACAATATTTTCCGAACGACAGTGTTCAAGCAATACCGATCCACGCACGACAGCGTTGGGCGCAACCGTTTAGCCTGCCATCAAAAACGAGATTCCTTGCGAAAACACCGTCGGAACAAATACTGATTCATATGCATACACCTGAACGAACTCCAAGAGCTACTGGCGGGCAGACAAGCTACGGGCAGATAAACCTTCCAATACAAATTTAAAACCACCGCAAACAATAACGAACACAATCGCGATACAGCAGTACAAGCTAAAAACATGAGAAAGCACGGGGTTCAACCTCACCAGGATCGCTGAGCTTGGCCCCCTCGCTCTCCACGGCGAAGAAGCCCATCTCAAAACCGAAGGGAAACACGGGACCTGTGGTGATTGGTGATTCGATCCAAAAAGCGGGTCAGCGAGTGGGGGGCGGGAGGAGAGAGGGTGGAAGAGTGAGAAGCTGAAGTAGACTGGGCACACAGGGAACAAGTCAGCCCTACTTAGTGGTAGTGGGCACAAATGGTCATTCAGTTGCAGCTAGACCATGACAAGGGCAAAAACAACAAAACGACAATATTAATGGCAACGAATACAAAATACGCAAGTGCACGTGAGTGAGTAACACCGCAGTAGAGGCAACTGTAAATAGTGCCTTGGTGAACGATCACTTTGTCTGGGCAGTACACAAAAAAAAAGTATAGCCCCATTTTCTGTCCTAACAATGAAGCTCGCAGGTCCTCCTTTCCCCGCAGTTGTACACCTCGCAGTAAAAAGGCATTAATGTCGGTAACCAAACCGACAGCAGTCTCAACACGATCGCGCCCCGATGTTGCTACGTTAGTCAGCAGACCCAGTCAAGGAGCCCGATCTCCTAACACTCACCCTTCGCCCTGCCGCTGTAGTGCAACGAGCACGGGGAGGGAGTGTCGCACGCGATCACCCGCATGACGACGTCCGTCAGGGCCGCGAGGCACGACATGGTCAGCATCCGCACCGCGTCGAAGCTTCGCGTGACCTTGAGGGACAGCGACGCCGCCGCGAAGTGCCTGCTGACGAGGTCCTGGAAGACGAAAAGAGGCGAAAACACACAACCGAGAGCACGGTTAAAAAGAAAGAAGGTTAAGTCCCTGTGTAACCCCGGCTGGTAATTCAAATGTACACCGAAAGGCGCGTGGATTGGCGCCAGAATAGATGAGATGGACACAACGCAAACAAGGGGCTTGAGAGACGAAGAGGATAACGGCTAGGGTCAGCCTCAAGGGGAAGGGGTTACGGCGCTCTTGATTTTGTCACCCGCACGTCTGAAGAACTTTCGCGGCGGGGACGACGATGTTAGTATATGGATGCGGCGAGACACCACCGCCTTGATGAGTTGCCTTGTTCTCAAATCTCACGTCCAGACAAAATACCAACCACCAAGGGCACGAAAAAAACACACACACACACACACACATACACACATACACAAGCAGGCCGGTCAAAAATAAGGAAAATCCTTCCCCGCCCGTTTAAAGCCGAAGTACATTCTCCAACTGCTGTAGCTGCGATTAGCAGCATATCAAAAATGTGAAAACTCCAACACCACAAATGTAGTGTACCCAAATGGAAGGTGGGACTCCAACAGCACATACGTACTGTACCCAAATGGAACGCAGTCCTCACCAGGAGTCGGAGAATGTGTGACTGAGTCTCGTATCGCATCGTCCTCCCCGCAGCCTGCCAGAAGCACTCCTTGGAAGCTTTTGGAGAGGCGTTCGGCAGCGGAATGGGTATCACCTGTGCGGGTATGGGTGCGGGACGGGTACGTGTACGGGACGGTTCGGTCTCTGTCTCGATAACCTTCTCATGAGAGGTGCTTGAGAAGCGACGTCCTCAAGAAAACATTTCTTCTACCCATGATAGGCCGCCAAATCCCCTTTCCACCGACCGTAGGCCCTAAAACTCCTCCTGTCACACCAAACAAAACCACACCGGCAGAAGTCCCTTCGCCGCAACAGCCTTACGGTATCCCGTATCGTAGCACTCCCGAACGACCCACCCTTGTGACGAGGTGTGTGATGAGCGAGGCCCTCAGGAAGAAGGTGTTCTTCATCACGTTCCGCTGGTTGGAGAGCAGGGTGCAAACCTCGGAGCACCGTGTGAGCGTGTTAGCGACGTCCTCGAACGTCGACACCGAGTCGGGCACGACGGTTAACTCCACGGGACGGAGAATCGGGGGTGGCTTGTGCTCCTGCGTCAAGCGGGCGTGGTGTTGGCGCGGTCATGCTTCAAACCAAAAAAATCTAACACAGGCCATAACGGTGCCGTGTACGCATTCCAGGGACAGGCTAGGGGGGGGGGGGATACAGGGGGGTTTCCTGTGCCCGAATCGAAACAGTCTACATTATCAGCCGAGGAGAACGGGTTGAACTCCAGTATCTATTTTCTCGGGCATACCTATCTATAGTGACGATTGATGTTCCACATCGCCCCTTCGAATAACAAAACGTCGTCAGCTGTCACGCGTACACGCCTTCACCCAATACAGCACTGCTAGATGATAGATGATAGATGATATCATACCATACCCGTGCGATCTTCACCCCATCGCGCCCAACACATTTCATTCAACGTCAATCTCCACCCTACCCTGCCCTCCCAAAAAAACGCGCGTCACACGGGCGAGGTCAAGACAACGTCACGCTTCCAACACGACCGCCGTAACATTCGACGCTCTCACTAACTTCCTACACTCGTCACTCCCATGTAAGAGGGTCCAACTCGGTTGGCACGGACTCGACGCGCCGTAGGAGTAGTTGGGTACCCTCTTATTCAGGTATAAGAGGGGGCGTCAACATAAGAGGGTCAAGAGCCTTTATCACATACATGACTTATATCGGAGCCACGACCGTACAACCCAAAACAGTATTAGTCGCCTGTAGCACAAAAAACTCGCTCACCCCGGCCAGGTGTTCCACAGAGGCGTCCCTCCTTAGCCTGCCGAAAAGGGGAAACACCGCCGACCACGGCGTTTTGTCGGGGTTTAGCTCCAGGCTAGACGGGCACTCCAGCAGCCCCGCACCGCCGCCGCTCCCCACCGTTGTCAAGGCCTTCACTCGAGACTGCACGGCGTCCACCGTCTGCTTGATCGCCTAGAGAAGCGAGAAGGAACCGTGGGTGGATGGGGAATAAAAAAGAACAATAACATCAAAGATTTGGACACCATAACCTTCTGCTGGAGCTTCCTTGATCACCAGAGAGGGCGTAAGAAGGGACGAGAATCACCCAGAAAGCAGCAGAGAGAGGTATGCTGCTGTGAGGGGCACGAAATAATTACTTCGAAATAGAAATCATATTCAAACACGTTCCCCAAGTCGAAGAAAAAACAACGTTGTCCAGCAACAACTATGAAGCAAGGCAGACATGCAAACTTTAGCGGCCGTGAGAGACTGGGAAGCACCATCATTCCACGACGCATTGCCTAGCGCATTCCTTCATATCTCACACTGACGCTTCCCGTCATCCTTCGACAGAGACGACAAAACAGGGACAGGGGGGGGTGTACTCATAGTCGTGCATGCCGTAGTCGTTAGACCATTGACCTCGCATCCCTACAAAGCCGGGACGGAGCACGCCGGGTTCTCACCGGACCAGGCTCTCACATCACCAAGCGCGAAGCGCCGTGAGGTATTCGGCGAGTCGCATGAAGGGTGAGCTACATCCTGCTAAGGGTGTTCGGCATCTTGTGCTTACTTCCTTGCGTACGAATGACAGCTGCGTATGACTTAATTTATTTTCTGGTGCTTTCACCTCCAGAGACAGTTGAAAGCACTGTGTAACTGCCTCGAGGATGCTTGACCATTTTAACACAACGTGGTGCGATCATCCCCCTTGCGCGGAATGAGGCTTCTCGACCCCGCACAACATGATCTACTCGACCACCATTCATGGTTACCGCAAAAAAAAAACAGAGGTAAAAAAAAAAACCGGTAACCTGGTTGCCGAGTTCACGAAGTGAATTGGCTTGTTTTACAACGTCGTTGCCAAGCGACGAAAACCCAACCCCGATGGAAAACACCGGGGGCGGCGGCTTGTTTTACAACGTCGTTGCCAAACGACGAAAACCCAACCCCGATGGCAGAACACCGGGGGGGAGTCATTGGCCTCGCATCCCAACAAAACCGGGACAGAGCACGCCGGGTTTTCACCGGAGCAGGTTATCGCAACTACAAGCGTGAAGTGCCGTGGGGTATTAGGCGAGTCGCATGGAGAGTGCGCTGAGCCTGCAAAGGGTGTTCGGCATCTTGTGCTTACTTCCTTGCACACGCATGACTGCTGCGAATGACTTATGACTTAATTTATTTTCTGGTGCTTTCACTTCCAGAGACAACAGCTATAAGCACTGTGTAACTGCCTAGAGGGTGCTTGACCAATATAATACAACGTGGTGCGATCATCCATCCCCTTCGCGCGGAGTGAGGGTTCTCGACGACGCACAATATAATCTACTCGATCACCCTTTAAGGTTATCAGCAAAACAAAGGTAAAAAAAAAAGCGGTAACCTGGTTGTCGAGCGCACGAAGCGATCAGCTTGCATTACAACGTCGTTGCCAAGCGAGGAAAACCCAACCTTGATGGCAAACCCCGGGAAGGGGGGGGGGGGGGCAAAACACACCTGCAACTCCGCATCGTTGGACTCAGCGCCTAAGGCAAACTTGGCGGCAGCCTTGGCCACTGTTCGACAGGCCAGCTGCAGAGGCACGGCATCGTTCCCTCTAAGCCTCGCCGCGCCCGCTGGAGGTAGCTCCCCCTCAGCCATCCTCAGCATCGTCCAACGCAGGTGCACAGCCGTACGCTTGGCCTGGTGTTGCGCAAACCAACGAGAGACGTCGCCACCAAGAAAAGGGTACGGGGATAAGGGGTCGCGCTGAAACATTCACATGCTTGAGACCGGGTGGTTGAGATCGGGTGGGTACTCACTCGCACTTGGGATCGAAGGGGGGTATGCATATATCCATTACTCGCTTGTTTCCTTTGCGCTCTTGATCGTTGTATCATGTACATACCTCGTTCGACGCAGAGCACGGTTATACCCCTACAGTGCAGCTGCAGTACAGAGATAGCCAAGGTTGGCCACTGCTGTGTACGCTACTGCTGTTCTGTTGTGCAACATACATAAGTAGGTGGGAGGGCGAATCCCAGGCTGCCAATATTTGAAATGAGGCACCAGAGGGGGAGGGGAACGAGCTAAGGATAGTAGCAGACAGCAGAGAGGGGGCTGTCAGCGAACCCGAAAGCCTAAAAAACAGAAAACTAAGGATAATTCGGCTTGAGGCGATGGCAGCACGCTTGGATATCTGAGCAACCGCAGAGGCATGAGAGAACCATGACAGAACCTAACCATACATACCTGGGGCTTCTTAAGGCCCATGAGATGGAGGCAGTGACGGGTAGCTTCCCAAATGGTGCGTGCCTTTGAAGGGTTTCCTCCTCGTGGAGGTGTCCGGAACACGATCTCCGCCTGCAACGCCAAAAGCCACATCATCATCATCAGCATCAGCAGCAGCAACACTACGGCAAAAGCAAGGCAGCTGCAGCAGGAGCAGTAACAAGCACAGATTGACTAAAGCGTAAACGTACGCGACCATTTCAACAGAGACGATTCCAGCGGGTGAATACTGTACAACAAGGTCCGGGCGGGGCAGGAAAATCATGCCCCCCGGAGGGTTGCTTTGTCAGCTCCGGAAATCCATACCCCGAGCATCGCTCTCGCGGGGCCTGATTGATACATTGACATTGCAAACAAGACGAACAGCAGTTCAATTTTTCAAGAACACATGCTGACGGGTTCCACCAACACGCGGTGCCAAAACCGCGTAGTCCGCTCTCGATTCGAAAAGTTGTGATAAGCTCTCCCCCCAAAATACAGTAAACAACATCAGGCCGATCGAGGAGTGGGGCTCATGTTTGCTTTAACTCAGAGCAGTAGTGCTTCCGGCCAAAAGTTTGGCCCTCAAGGGGAGGATAATTCTCGTGTTTTTACAGCAGAAACAGCAATCGTATCTACCGAGTGATCTAGCAACCACTTTAAGGCATGGCTTGGGTGAACGTGTCGGGAAGAGAGACGTGGACGGACAGCATAAGACACGCACACCAAGGAGAGAAAACCTGATGACCCAAACACAGCAGTAAACACAGTATGAAAAAATCAATCTTACAAACAAGATACAAAGAAAAAACTGAAAAGAGTGAATCGTCTTCGAAAGACGTATGCATAAGGGAGAAAAAAGCACCCGTTGTGGAGGTGATCTCCACAAAAAAAAAACAAAAAAAACATAAACCTCACGTCTTGAGACAGGCCCGCAGGCACGTTGGACAGCAGGGGGCGAGAGTTGAGGTAGGGCAGGAGCCTCTCGTACAAGTGCTCCGGCCCGTTCTCAGGCCTCGCGTGCACCAGCTGCCGGTACGCCAGCATCCAGAACGACGAGTCTCGGACACGGTACCCGGGCACGTCTTTCAGTAGCAGCGACGCCACGGACCTCATCTGCCAGCAACCGACACCGCAGCAGAACAAAGCTAGTTGTTGGAGGACCTCCATCACAAGTAAAACAAAGAGCGAAACGGGCAAAAGTCCTATTCATCGATGCCACCTGCTTGTAAGCATTGGTTGTGGCTTGGAGGCCTACCACCCGAACCCCAACCACCTGCGCAGTCAAGTTGTTCATGTTACCGCGCCGAGTCCGAGCAGAACCGGAAGTAACGACACATACATTCTCTAGCGTGCAAGACCTTTCGCTATAAAAGGGACGTCTTAAAGAACGCACGCTCGCCACCGTTCGACCGACAGCAAGCAAAAAGAGGTAGGGTGAACATTAACGTTGACATCTTACATACCAGGACTTTAACCACCAACGCCAACCCGCAACCGACGATCATAACGCAGCCTAAGCCCCTAAAACCCTACGCCCCCCATCCGCACGCACGTTTCCTCGCCCGGCGGGTCATCAGCCTCCCACCCGTCCAACTCACAACCCAAACTCCTCCTGGACACAACGCCATCCCGGTGGCGGGATAAGTCTCCTACGCCTCGGTACTCCCGACCCTACCTACCGCCCAACCGCGACATGCGTCACCCCCGGCGCAAAGGCAGGGGTCGTTCCCCCTGCGGACTCCCACCCAGAATCTTCACACCCTTAACCCACATTTCGCCGGACACTGGGTATCATTCTCTCGCTATCGACACCATTCGGCAGTCACTCCTGTTCCGACACCCTTGAGAGCTACATACCCCAGACCCAACTACATTGTATTTATGCTAGTAAAGCCACATCATTAACGGCGCGTATCGTACCTTCCCCCGGGTTGGGTCCGCCTCCTGGGCGTGGTACTCCGTCCCCTCCCCGTACGGGTTGACGATCGAAACGGAAAACACCTCGGCGTCCCGCCTCATTACCACGAAAATCACGGAATGACCCGTGCCGTCGGCCCGGACCCACCCGCACGGCGCCATCCCTAGGTCCCCCACGCCGAGCCCCCTGATCTTCTGGACCCAGCCGTTGAGGAACTATTTATCACAGCGGCAGAAGGCGATGGGAGATCGACAGAGCAAGAGGTGGGGTGTTCGAAACAGCGTCTCATCAACACCGCCGCCGTCACGCCTGCTGATGAACGGCTTGCCGATGTTAGCAGTAACGAATGTAATGTTTTCAACACGTCTACTTACTCGGTCAAAGTGCACAACGGGGCGAGAAGGGACCCGGCCCCACCCATCAAGGGCTGACGCTGGCCTACTTTCCCATGAAACCTCGGTGTGCCGCTCGCTCGCCAGACAAAAGAACAACTCTGGGAAGCACCAAAAATACAAACAGACAGAACACGAAAATAACCAGGAGTACACTAATCTATCCTACATCGCGCACGATAGCCAAGAGACGTTGGTCCCACGGTCTGGCGAAAACGAAGCGTACAAACTCACTGTCCGGTAAGGTGAGGTAAGGTAAGGATAACCAGACAGCTCTGGGGAAACCTTAACCTTCGGCCTCGATAGCAACTAACAGGGGATCATGTTGCACGTCCGAAGTCGATGAGGCCTCGTAGCCTCGCAGACTTTCAGGCTTGCGGTTCCTGCCAACCATGGCATGTACGTTTGCACATGGAGCATGTTGGCAATCAGAAAAAAGCTGCTGCTGAAATTATAGAAGTTGCGCGGCTCTGCCTCACCATGAGAAACGCCTGATTGTCTCCCACGCCCACGCGGAACTTGCTGCAGCTCTCGCCGCATTCCTCCAAGACACGGTGCAGCTGGCGCTGGATAGGGCTTTGCGACACCTGCGGTCAAGACCGACCGACAGACAGACAGACAGACAGACAGACAGAAGAGACAGAAGAGACACACAAAGAAACACAACCAACACAAGAAACGAAGGCGAGGAGGTTCTACGGTCAAGCAGAGTGGGAAGCACTATACAGACGACCCACGATTCTTGAAACACACAAAACACAAAAACCAAACAAATCCATCGATTTTTTCCCATAAGGTTGGCTCGACGACCCCGACTTCCAATCTCCTGACGGCGCAACGCCAGATAATTCCCCCCTGCCCCCCCTTCGGGAAGAGTACTGGAACAGGCGGCTTTGTAGGGATGCGAGGTCAATGGTCCAACGACTACGGCATGCACGACTATGAGTACCCCCCCCCCCCCCCCCCCCTTCGGGAAGAGTGCTGGACAGGCGACTCATCCTGACCACGACCGCAGATCCCCCCCCAACAAATAAAACATCCTAAACATGGCCGCACTTAGGAAACCCCACTCGCCTGGCTTAGGGCTCCGAGAGCTTTCGACACGAAGGCCGCGCTAGCCGCCAAGGCCACCAGGTCCGGGATCTCGCTCGTGCGCTTCTTCATGTAGGCGTCCGCCATGATGTCGGCGAACGCCCAAGTCTGCCACGACAGCTTCGGACCGCCTCTGCAACAAGGAAGAGTACCGCCATACCACGTCAACGGACGAACAAAGGGAACGACGCGATTCGCGAGTCATTGCATGAAGAAACGAGTGCAGATATTTAGTCGGTGCTGTCGACTCGAAAAGACGGGGAGCTGGCTTACAACATCGAACGCAAGAATCGGTCCCAAAACGGACAACATGAGCGAACCGGCACTTGGGCCGAAACGACATCAGACCGAAGTTACCATACTGGACGCATGCAACGTTGTCGAAGCGAACTCGTACCACTAGCGCGGCGCCGCGTCACCTCTCCACGAACCCCGAACTCTCGCCAGCGGTACCTGTACCGTATCTACCACACGCCGTTTTCCACCCCTCCACCATGTACTACGACCCGTTACTCACTGTAAAGGGCCGGCACCAATCACCGGGGTGGACATTCCTCTCAGCAAGCTCCTCGCCCCTCCGAAAAGCTTGGTCGACGCTTTCCCCGCCGAGGGCGCCGACAGCAGCAGCCCCTGCCCGCTCGTAGCCGCCCCACTCCCCGCCCCCCCGACGTGCGCCGTCGTCGCCGCCGACACCGGTGGTGCCGGCACCTGGACGGAGGGCGGCACGACGGTAGGCACGAGCGTCTGGGCAGCCGCCGCCGGCGGGGGAGGAGGCACCGCAGTCGGGACGGCCACCCCGCTCCCGGGGGGGGGGGGCACCTTCGCGGACGCCGACCTCCCCGTGGGCGACCAGGGCATCCTCGACATGAGCGACGAAGGAGACCGCATCGAGACCGGTCTGTTGGGGCTCCCCCACCCCGACCGCGCCGTCGGGGGCGTCCCCGTACGCCGATGCTGCTGACGGGTCGGCGAAGCTAGAGGATCCAGCGAATCGATGGTGGTGCCGGCGGTGGGTGCCGTCGCCGCCATGGTCGCGCGCCGTCTCGGCGAGGACAGGCCGGTGTTCCGGGTGGACCTTGCGCGCGCTGCGGCGGCCGCTGCCGCCGTGGCCTCGGCGGCCGCGGCAGCGGCGGCGGCCGTGGTAGCCGACGGTTGGACGGCGGTAGTCACGGCCTGGCGCTCCACGTAGTTGCTGGGGAAGCTGCAAACGGGTGGGATGTGATGGACAAGGACAAGGACAACAGGTGTACGAGACAACATCGAGAGGTCTGAAAGGGGAGTGTTTGATGAATGTGCTTGTTTTGAATACTGCTCAAGGGAAAAATGACAAGGCGCATCGTGAGGGTCTCTGGGGATGGAAGTGACCGCGCGTGAGCCGACTTTGGTAGATGCTCCAGCAGCGTTCCTAATCTTGTGACTGCTTCCTGTTGCGCGCCCCTCCTCTCTCGCAACTTGTCTTTTCGTCTTTTCAACGCTTGACCATGAATTATTCGGCATTTACAGACAGGGCAGGCGAAGAAGAAAAAAAACGGGGGACACGACCATCACAACACCATGACACATCGCATCCTGCTCGAAGGCGAGACTCACAACAACATAACGGCCCTTCCCAGAAACCGCTGTAGACAACAGAAACCGTTGTTTCGACACAGGACAGAGCCCCTTGAAGAGAGCCCCAGCGAAAAAGACGAACTCAAACTTTCATACAAGACGGCCAGGACCACACCTTCGGCAAGAAAAATTGCCTGAGGTACTATCGAAGGTTAAAAAAAAACAAGCGTCAAGAGCAATGTTAGCGTGTACCCATGGGTGCGGGCGGCGCTGCTACGACACTCACAGGCCGGTCTTGCCGCCGACGGTCCCCTTCCACCACTCGGCCTTCTTCTCTAGCACGTGGATCATGTCTCCGACTCGGAACCCGATCTCGTCCGTATCCTAGAATAGGCAGCAGCAACGAGCGACACAACACGTATGTGCTCAGCATGTCCCGTGCAACCTGTGAAGAGCGTGTCTCGCGCCTTGATTCAGCTTTGTCGGATCGGCTGGATCTACCGACATGGAGCAGTGCCCACCTTTACTATTCCAGACCATGTTGCGTCGTGCTACAATGGGGCGTACATAATAGAAGTAGCTGGTGTGGGTGTAGATGAAGTCAACACTTGCGGTCGGTGTGTGTCGCGTGCCAAGGAAGCCGGAGCCTTAGCCATCCGTTCGTCAGGAAAAAACCGCACGCACATTTGTAGCACAAGAATCTCCATGTCCGAGCGACGTTGTTCGAGCAGAGCTTCCACAATACGTCTTCCAGCACGCAACACACACGCACCATCGATGGAGAAGTACCCCACCATCGACGGGATTCAATGCAGTAATGCAGCAATGCAGCCTTCAACATCTGCCTGTAGATGGCCTCTACTCCTAAGATCGCAAAGATTCATCGAGTCTCGGCGCTTTGCCGGAGACCCCGATGGGCTTTTACTGGTTTGCATGTGTGTTTAATCTGTCTGGGAACATTATATCTGTCATCCACATTTCCCAACGAACCAACACTCCCACAAACGATAACAGCCGAACGCAAGACCCCATTGAATTGATTCCTACGTACCTGAGCAACGTAATCGAACAGAGCTTTCACCATCTCAGACCCCCCGCTCGTCCCCCCACCGCCGCCGCTTACTCCAGGGGGAAGCGCAGAAGGCAGGCTACTCCGCGAGTTGCTTCTCCCACCCCCGCCGCCTGCACCACCGCCGCTCCCGCCGGCGGAGAACGGCTGCTGCCAAAAGTTGTCAGGTCGTGCCGCCTTGGAGGTGGAAGCGGGAACGTTCGAAGCCGGCAACCCCTGGACCGTAGCTGGCGCCGGCGCCGGCGCTGGCGCTGCTCCTGCTGCCGTCGCCGTTGTCGGCACCGGCGGAGGGGCTGCTGCCGGTCTTGCGCGGTTCGATATCGCCACATAGTTGACGGGGAACCAGCCGGTCTGAGACGGTGGTAGGGTGGCAGGAAGGTAACCATGGAGCGGTGGGAAGGGTCGTTCGTTCGGCTTGAAACGTTCAGCTGGGCGTAACAGGGCATAGGGTGGGCAGGCGGCCCACATGACTGCGCTATTGTACTACGCAGTCTTGAGAAAACTTCGCCAGGGTACTGCTATTGTAAGCACCACACCTCTTGGAGGCAGAGCATATGTACACTACTAACGCTAGAAAATCCGACTGTTTCTGCCATGTGCGACAGTTTCCCCACAAAACACCGAGACACTGATCGCCGTAACCACCTTCTCTTCAGGGTAAGAGTAACATACTGACTCCCCTGTACGTGCTTGCCGTGTGATGCTGGTCTTTGAAAACTGGGTGCGGGGGGATGTACTTGTACATCTGATGTGCCAAGATATCAATCCTTCCGATTGAGCAAGAAAATAGTGTGTGCCCGCGGTGAAGCGCCGTGGCATTGGTGACGGCAATGGAATGTTTTGTAGCACGATTCCCGACGGCACGGCGCTTATTTCTGCTGTACCATTATATTTTCGTATATGGTACCTCTTTGGGTAAGTTAGCCTGTGACCACGGGAATCGACCGCGTCAAGTGTTGGCTACAATAGGACGAACAGAAAAGGTACTGGGAAGAGAGAACGGAACGGTTTCAATGTAAGACAACAGCTGATGGTAGGGGGAATCGGCATTGCCATTGGTATGTCGCCGACACAATGCTCTGCATTTCCACACGTCTGTATCCACACCAAATTTGAATTGCAAATAGACTCCTGCGGTCAGATACAAGCCTCGCAACGCCTTTGTTGCACTTGCGTCGAAGGATTGTTCAACACCACAGCAGTAGCAGTCGGCCAAGCGGCGCGTGCTCTCCCAGCTGGTGGGACGCACCCCTCCCGCCCACGGTTCCCAGCACAAAAAGCCGCTACTGCTGTTACGCTAGTTGTCTATCCTGGGTGGGTGTGGATGTGCTTGTAATTGTTCGGCGGGTGGAGGACGGAGAAATGCGGACGGAATCAGTCGCGTCCTCTTCTCCCGCCAAGTGGTACACAATAAAGTCAGCACAACACACCTTCCCGTTGAGCTTCCCCAAGCCCCACCCCTCTCCCGGGGGTACACGCTTCAGGCTGATGACATCTCCTTGTTTGAAGCTTAGCTGCTCCTTGCCTGCACGAACAATAACGCAGGCAGCAGGGCCGAGAGCACTACCATGTCGTAGCATTGCATTGGTGCTGCTGCTGTACTGCTGTAGCACAGCATTGACATCAATCCGCGGCCGTTTCCCGTTTGTTCGACGATCGCAGAGGAGTCCAATGCATACATTGGCAGAAGAATTTCGGCCTCTGGTACGTAAATGGCCTTCAGCGAGCACTCGGAAGATGTCGGTTGCAACTTATAGCCCTAGCTTTTGACATGTTCGAGTTCAGCGCAGATCCTCGTCAACAATCACACCTCGTAGTGTACCATACAGCGCGCCATCATGCTGAAGCTAAATGTTGTAGCTCCCGCTCTGTCGGGAGGAAAGAGCTGTCTCTCTCCGGCAGGCAACGAAAACTGTGAGCCTAGAGAGCATGCCTCACAACAGCTTCTTCCTGCAAGCTACTTACCGTCACCCTGGTAGTCGAACAGCGCAATGCAAGTCTGGTCAGCCATCGCAAACGCGAGGGCAGCGCGTGCCCGAGCTGTCAGTGTCTGCTAGTGAGTGCACGCTGTTGCTTTGCCGCTCATGGGGGCTCCGCAGGGCAAACAAATATTGCGGAGGTACCGGCGGTACCAGGAAGTTAGCCCACCTGTGACCGCCGTGAGCAACAACTAACTTGGGCAGCATATTGTAGCGGTTTGGGGTTATTTTGTTGGGACAGCTCTCGCTGTCTCGCTGTAGCGTTGCCGGGCGGGGTGGGGTGGGTAAATGGCTAAATCGTTGGCTGGCGGGCTCTTGCCGCTAGGCCCTCGAACTGGCTCTAACACCGCCGTATCTAGCAGTACTCTCACCGGTGGCCTTATTCCGCTTGGAAACAAGAGCCGACCAAGCGTTGGCCGAGACGACCAAGAAGAGGGCGGTTGGGGTGTGGTCGGTAGCCGCTGGAGCGGTAAGGAGGACGATTCGGGACTGGAAGAGGAGAGGCTAGGGAGCGAAGCACACCCCGACAAGAAGGTGTGTTTGAGTCTCTCAATCTACAGCAGTACCGCTATTTACTGCTCTGCTGTTTGGAAAGATTTTCAAATCGTCGGCAGATCTTGAATCTTAGGAACTGGTGTTGGTGTAACATGCAGTCCGTTTGAGAGGAGATCTTGCCATGCCGGTCAAATCAGTGGTGACACCGGCGTAATGATCATGCTCTGCACAGCATGTTTTCAAGCCCACACGAAAATCGCCTAGTCCCATTAACTTCGACGGCATCGAAGCAGCGGATCTCGATCCAAAAGAGATACGAAGTTGTGTCTGTTCTAAAACGTCGACCGGCGGAACGCAACCACACCTTGCGCGGGGTCTACCCTACCGCACAATACTTCGTAGGTCCAATGATACGCACGCCTCTTGACCTGCCCACTGCTACCGCTGTGCCCGTAGGGAAAAAAGCTGTCCTCGAGCAGAAAAAAGCGTGGCGGTAAGGACAAAAGCGACCGTGCTGGGCACCAAACATCCAAGAGCAGCGTAAGACGGCGGCGAGGATCGAAGGAATCATCGAATGACGCCCGTGACAACGACTCCGACGCCAGCCCCAGCATCTCCGGATTAGAATCACGACGCAACAGCAGTAAGGAGGGCTGGGAGAGCGGTAGCACGCTCTCGAACTTAAACCCCGTCGCCGCTGTCGATGTCGAAGAGCCGGAAGATGACAGCTACCTGTTCTTGGGGGCTACGGCGGTGAGCCAGCCGGGACTCCTGTAAACCATGACGTTCGGAGCAGTATCGCATGCACATCTGTTGAGTTGCGCGGTGGGAGAGATTTAAGTGTACATGTAGCGTGAACAGAAGCGAGACCGTCATATGAAACAGATAACATTCAACCCAACACGGTATGTACGTTAAAGCTGCACCCACAATGCAAGAGGGTGACTCCATACGCAGTGCACGTCCACACATACCGGGGCAGCATCGCACTGCTGTTCTTTGTGGAGTTATTTTGAGGCATGTGAGTGACGCTCAAAGTGGTCTCAAACGGGCCCAAACTCACACTGTGTATTGTGGGGGCCCTGAGTACTCACACTATGCGGGTTGTGTCCGTGCCAGCACTCCCACACTAGCCAGTCTTCATGGCTATTCCATTTGGCGTCGAAACACATACGATACTCTCCACACCCCCACCTCCTTTCATGCATTTCTTCTACTCATTCAAAGGGTGCCAAAGGAAAAAAGAGCTCCAGGGAAAGTGCACAGGAAGAGGCGTTGAACTACGACTCCACCGACTCCTTCGGCCTGCCCAAGAAAAAGACAAGCAAGGGACGCTCGAAATACACGGCCCCGAAGCCCGGGAATACAGGAAGCGAGTCTCGCACAACCATAGGAAGCAGCAGCCCTCACACGGGTGGTCCATCGACCACGCCCAATGCTGCCGGTAGGGGAGGGAGTCAACAAGACGATGGAAACCTCTCCTTTCTTGGGGGTAGACAAGTTCAGCCGTCATCTTCTGGTGGGCTTGCGCTCGACACAGCAGTAGGTGCTCTAGGTGGAGATATGCCGCTGAGCACCGCCGCTGTGACGGCTCCAGCAGGAGGGGGGAGAGGAGCCAGCAGGGTGCCACCGGACGAAGAACCAGCGGTAACGACAGGAACAGGGATCGACCTTGACGAAGACTTCGACAGCCCTGATGAAATGGACGCGCTTCTCGAGATGACAGACCCGTCCACGCTGATGCCGGAACCCAGCGGGGCGTCAGCGTCAGCAACGGGACCCATGCCGCCGCTGCTACCACATGGAGGGTCGACGAGCCCGGGGAGACAAGACGGGAAAAAACCGCCACACAACCAGCTGGACACTTCTGCTGCGACCCCTCCACCTGCCTCATCGGTAAGCACGTCGAAACGGAGGTCGCCTTCACCGCCGTCCAGTCCTCGAAAAGGCCGCTCAGACGTTATGACGGATAGCCGCAGCCGCCAGCCACTTCCCTCCCGCCCAGGTCGGGGCTTGACCTACAGCGGGAGTCGAGACGGTTTGTCGTACGGTAAGGCGTCCGAAGAGGGTATGGGCGGTGAGTCGAGGAAGGTAGAGGGAAGGGCTTTGCAGGACTCTCATTCCGGCGGCGTGGATCCAAGGGTGACAAACGCCGTCGCGGACGGGACGCGAAACAACGCTGCACTTGCGACGACGAGGTCACCGACACGAGCGTTGTTGTCACGTGCAAGCACCGATGGCGAGCAAAGCAGAACGGAGGAAGATGGCATTAACGGTGGAGCGGGCAATGAAGGGGAAGAAACAGGCTCGCGAGTGCACGGGTCGGCTCCAGAAGCATCGGCGTCGGTGGCTGGTGCCAGGACCATGGTTGGAGACTCTGCGGGCAGTCTTGGAAGCGTAGGCGGTGCTAGTGACGCGCGGCGGCAGTTGACCTCAAGCGGACCAGGGATCGTGAAAAAAAATGGCGACCAAGTCCCAAGACGGAGTGCGTTGGCCGGGGCAGACAAGCCTACGGCACAGTCGCGAAAGCCGAAGTCGCGGGGAGTAACCTTTGACGACGATCTCGTCGGCGTCGATGCCCTGGACATCCTCCCAGGTAGTAGCAGCGACGAAGGAGAAAAGCTTGGTGGCGGGACTCCGCCCACTGAAGACTTGCTCGAAAAGAAAGGGTTGCCGCAATCTTCGCTCAACCTTGTTCCCACGAAGTCCCCTGTCCCTGTCGAGACAGCCGCGGAAACCGTCGCTGAGGGTAACGGCAATGGTGGGGGCATTCGTGAACCAGAGCATCGTACATCGGAGCCGTGGTCCACTGCTGTGGCTTCTTCGGGAATAAGCAGGCGACCCTCAACTTCCATTACGGAAGGGCTTTCCCCTGCCACAGCTCTCTTGATGGCAGACTCCTCGAGCGAGGACAACAACAGCGCGATAGCAGCTGGCGCAGCCACCACCAAATCACGTCCGGGGTCGGAGCACCCCGATCGATCCTCGTTCGCGGTACCGAGACTAGACCTAGGAAAGGCGGAAGTGGACAAGAAGGTGGAATGGTCTGCAGGCCTTCTCGGTGTAGGACCGACAGACGGCGGCATCGGAGAAGACGAAACCATCGACGACGCTAAGCTGGATTTGGCGCTGGGGTTCACGCCGTCCGCGATGGAGGGCAGCCGCAAGCCACGGCGTACGCTGCCGGCCGGTCGCAGGAGACGGTCCCGCCGGGGCGAGTCGTCGACGGTAGCAGACGGGGAAATGGAACATGCCGGCGTTTCGATTGCCAACACAAGCCTAGCATCGATGCCATCCACAGCCAGCCCATTGGCGACAGCGATGCTGGCGGAAACAACTTTCGAACGTACAACGCTCAGTGTTGGGAGAGCGGATGATGCAGGATCGGGAGTGGCGGGGACAGGAGAGCGTGCCGGGGATAACGGAAGCTCTCGCTCGACCCTTGCGCCCGGCGTGTCGCCAACCCTCCCCGCCGCCGTTCGCGAGCCCACGAAGTCATCCACAGGTGCAACCGCGTTTGGTATAACACCTGTGACGGCCGCTGCTACCAAAGGTACTGGTACCGAATCAACCCCATCGTCAGCGGAACGCGTGCCTTCGGCAGCGCTACCTGGAAGCGAGAGCGACAGGGCATTGGACACACGTGCGCTCATCGACAGTCGTGGTACTCTCGGCCCCTTAGATCATGGGTCAAAGAACGGCAGCAGCAACAGGGATCTCCTCAGCGGTGTTGCTGCTGCTTCTTCTTCGAGGAGCGAGAACAGCGCCGAATCGAGAGGCGTGGATGTCTCGGTGCTCGCTTCCCTCGAGCGGCAGCTGGTGCTGCTTGCGAGCGAAAAGGAGGCCGTAGCAACAAAGGTAGCACGAGATGAGCAGAGACTCCAGAGAGATGCAGATTTGGCGCGGGATGCTACGGCAGCGGCGCAGGCTCGAGCGTTTGAGTCGGAGGCAGCTCTAGCTGCGGCCAGGTTCGTTAAGTAGAAAGCGCTTCAAGATCATCGCCATTCTGGGATGAACCGAAGGGGGAAAGGGCCAGTAAGGCAGTCGGGGCATCATCAAGCACATGGGGTGGGGCTACGGTGTAGAGGGCATGCGCTTTTACAATTGCTGCGTGAGAGCAGAGTAAAATTTGTAAAAGGCATGCTGACCCTTACATTTTCGACGATATACCTAGATCTGTGCGGTCAGCCTTCGTGTTCGTTCACCCTGCAAGTGTGTCACCGGGTTGCAAAAGTTCGGCGGGGGGGGGGGAGGGTGAGGTCGATCGTTATTTTCCCTTAACCTAACGCCTGAGCCTCTGATGATGTCATGCCAACCAATCGAAGGGCACGTATCAGTCAGCTGGAAGCGGAGGCGGCCGAACACACGGTTCGACTGGCAGCGGTGGAGTCTCGAAGTGCAAGGGACTTGAGAGCGGAGCAAGAGTCATGCCTCAAGAAGATATCCGATGCGGAGGCTCGGCGCCAGGCAAGCGCCGGATCATCATCATCATCAGCAGCAGTACTGTAGCGCGTGTACATTTTTCCGGTCGGCGGACGCTCGCCCCGCGTTGGTACTTACCTCGCCTACATGAACATCGTACGGGCTTGTACAATACGTTTATCTAACCCTTATATTGCGGGGCGAAGGATATCTCATGTTGTTGATTGTAGTCGAGCGCGGCTGGTTTCATCCAAGTATTTGTGGAACAACCCGCACGTCTGTTTGATGCGCACCACTCTGTCTAATGAACCGTTTGTGAGAACCATGTTCCGTGTCCTTCGTGGAACCCGTCAGGTTTGCTCTGTCAATCAGCTAGCCTTTTGCGCAGCGAGCTAGAGTCTTCGTCTCCCATCGCTTTCATGCGCTGTGTATGCACTACTGCTTTGTAGGAAGACCTCTGCAAAGCAGAACGTCGGCAAGAGGAGGCGCTGTCCGAGTTGAAGCGGCTGCACAGGGAGGAGCTCGAGGACACGAGGCGAAGAAATTCTGACTCCAAGACCCTCGAGACATTGGCTGAACAGGTGATCTGCTAAATGTGATGAGATGCGGCAGACCCGTTAACCACGACCAGTTGGTCCTCGAAATATTGTGGTACGAGGGAATCGTCACCGGTCCGGTGTCCTGCTCCATTTTTCGCGTTCCCAACTTCCCGTTCATCTTCTTTTTTGAAAAAGGATTGAGAGATTTGCGGGAAACGTTTCAAACACTCGGAACGACCTCAGACGTTCTTGGGGTTCCTTTTGAAGAGGTTGGGGACAAAGCCGAAGGGGGACTTCGAGTAGTTAAGATTTTCTCAAGCTCGGAAAGGAAGAAGATATATCCTAAACGGCCTTTGGAAGGTTGCGGTTTCTTCTGCTCCTGGAGCTAGCCACCTTGCCTCTGTCGATCATTGCGATGACGAGTTGATTTGCTTAGTCATCTACGACGGAAGAACTGGCGAAAAAACGATGAACAATATCACACCCACCTCACGTGAAAGCCTTGGTTGCATACAAGTATAACTACTGGCATGCCCCAGCCCCTAGTTGAAAGAAACAAGGTCTCCTCGTTGTGAGACTCACCGATTTAAGGCTTCCTCCCACCTGGACTCACCCCTCTAAGACTTCCTCCCACCTGTAGGCCCACCTCCTCCACTGGAAAGCCCATGATTCTCTCCACGTGCACGTTGGGGCGCAGAAGTCCATACAGACTGACTAAAGCTATCAATTTGCCCAATCTTGTGTCCACCTGATGTGGGACCAGCAGCAAGCGACATGTGAGAATCGCTCCACAACTTACCACACGGCGGTCGTGGGCTTCGAGGAATTATTTCCAATTCTTCTCTCTTGGCATGCACAGGTTGACACCGGACACACGTACCCCAAACAGCAGGTGCTGAAGCCAAGGTACTCTTCCCCCCCCCTGCTTTTCTCGTGCGTGCAACGTTTCGGGTGTTTGCGACAAGGTCCAAGCGAGCGCGGGGGCAGTGAAACTCCTCCGGTCCGAAATGATTGAGCGCAAGAACGTGTCTGAAGTGTCTCGGGAAGGGCACATGGACGCCAGAGAGAGGCTCATCAAAGAGCTAGAGCAGTCCGCCAGACGCGCGCAGCAGGTGCTCGTACCATTGCACTACCGACGTTTCAGCTGCACTGCTGTTCTTGTATTCAGATACAACTAGGTGCTTGTTGTAAGGGGTTGTTTTCATCGTGGGTCGCTAGGATCTTCAGCTTTCTGATGTCCCCAACTATGACAATATTGTTCGTGTGCGGTCTGTACTGCTCGAACTGAAAGTTGATTGCGCGAGTCGAGCACAACACACCATCTTCTTACATATTCCTTTAATTATGCACCACGGCACTCGTTTCTTCGTTCTTGCAACAGACGGCCGAAGACGAGGTGCAGCGTCTTCAGGGTACCCTCATGGCCATGGACCAGGTAAGAACGCGATATGTATCACACACACATTACGTACACAGGACGGACGCAATTGCCCTATGTAGACGAACCACACGCGTGACGTTTAACCGAACAGCAGGGTTTCCTTTGACCTGCGTGGCGCAATGCGTTCGCCTAGGTGGAACGGCTTTTACGGTGCCGTTCTCCGCGCGATCGTAGGCGTGACATGTGTTTCTTTGGAGACAACGTTTACTGAAAATCCGTTGGGTTAAGGGTATGGTTAGATGATCTCGTTTGGAGCGATAGATGGAATTCTTGTTTTTCTTCGGAAGTCCAACCGCTCAAGAGAGAGGGTACGGTTCAGGTCTCTTCATCTATCTGCCCATCGGCGACTCCCTGCAAGGTGATGAGCGCACTTCGAGGCCAGAATGCCGGAGAGAGGGAAAGGCTAAGGCAGGAGCACTTGAGAATGGAGGCCCTCCAGGTGCGGTGCTCGCCGGGAAACTAAGCTTTGATGACGCCGAATCCCCCTTGCAGGGAGAATACGCAACACTACTGTAAAATGTATGACGATGTAGACACTGATTAAGGCTTCGATTGCGGCACCACCCGCGGTAGGCAGAAGGAACCAATCAATTCTCCAGGTACGACACGACCTTTGCGGGCACCTTACCTCTCGGGAACCACCGGAATACAGTCTGAGCTGCCGGATCTCCCGCGGACATGCTTTGATTGACGGCGATGCCTAGGGGGACCATGTGTATGGTTAGGCGGTGGTGGTTAGTCGAAATATATTCGAGAAGTAGAGGGTTGTCGACGTGCAACACGACAGATAAACAGACTCCTACGCCTGGTTCCAACAGTCTTCCTACTATGTAGCAATACAAGGTTTCAGGGGAGGCCATGGTTGGGATAAATGCTCGTAGCCCCAGCGAGTTCCCAACCTCACTTGGCAAGAAGGCGGTTCATCCTCGGGGTCTTGCCCGTGGCGGATGTCTATTAGTGCTACCGAACAACAAAAAAGCGAGCGCTTAAAATGCGAAAGTCTCTTGGACCTCTTCGTTCTTTACCATGCGGTCATGATTGCGGGAGTTGAGGTCGTTCGAAGGTGCACCAAAGCAGAGCGCTAGGCTCCGAATGGGCAGAGTACTCCTGGCCCTAACCAAGCCCCGTGAACCGACTTCCCAAGGGTGCCATGGTTGCGGAGGTCGAGAGCGTTCGGAAGAGCGTCGAAGAGGAACGGCAACGGCTGGCGGTGAGGGGCGCCGCCTTAGAAAGGGACAAGCGACAAGCGGATGCGACGGCGAGAGCGGAAAGCGATCGACTAGCGGAGCAGGTGTCGTACGCCAGATCAACATCGACGCCACAATCGACCGGAAAACTGTAGCTAAACAGTGATATGTTTACGTATGAAATTCCTGCCCCTCGTGTTATTTTTACAATGGGAGCCGCACTATGAGAGAAGTAGGTCCTCGCCCAAGCATGACGGACGCATGCGCCAAAAGAAACTACAGTACTGGGACAAAGTTGACGCTGCTGTTGTTGTTGCCGTACCAAGCGAAAGCAGATCACGCTATCCACCGCCATTAAGACCTTGTTCCCCATGATCATGATGATAGCTACGAACAGATGCTGCCCGATGTCTTCAGCAACACCACACGGGCGTTAAAGTGTGCTCGTGCACGAGCTTAGCATGGGATGCGAAACAGGAGTGGCCTACCCTGCTATCGTCGTAAAAAACCGTTCGCACACGCGCAGAGGTTTTGAACCGCAGACAAAACACATTTATGTGGGTTCACAACTGGCACGTAGCGATGTACTTCTCCACCCCATCGACAACACGTATCTCACATTGATTCTGTCCCGCATGTTCCTGCTTCTTTTGCTTGTTTGCCACCAAACCTACCTGTACAGCGGGTCAAGCTGGAAACGGATCGTGAGAGTTTCGCGGCTTTGCAGATTTCGGCATCAAAGGTATGTGCACTTTTGTGCCACCCACGCATTCCCACGGAACCCGCCCTAACTTCCTTTAGCTGGCAAACGGTTTCATTGCACAATCCAGGCGGAAATATCTGCAGGAAGGATTCGATTCCGTGGGGGTCGAACGCATGATTTATCCTGCGCAAGTCCGATTTCGGCCATGGTAGGGCAGATCGATCTGGGTTCTTGGGCGTGGAAGGGTCCCCTCTCCTAGAATCCGTGGATTGTAAATGACTTGTTCAGGAGCCGGGTTCAGGTTTAGGGACAAAAGTATCGAACAAGCACGACGACGTAGTGTGTTGGAAACAGGGTGAAGCGAAAGCACGTTCGGCTTGCCGATCAGACACACACCTGTGATACATATCGGTTATTTTTGGTGTCTTGTCAAGGAACGATGTTCCTCCGAACGCTGGCAGAAAAACGGACAGATTTAGACACAGTTTCATAGCAACAGTTGAATGCTTTGACCCGTAGAAAACCTTCTCCCGCTTCCGTCAAAGGGGAACAATGTGAATCACCCATCGTAAATAATGGAAAATGGAACGAGCTCGCCGGGTGCTGCGCACGACCACGCTCACCCTCGTGAGTCTCTTGTCACTACTCTCTTTTGCATCCTCATTAACAAATCTCAGCAAGATACAATCAGAGAATGTCTCTCGATGAATAAAGGCGTTTCTGCTCTACAACCTCACAGGCGGCGGAGGAGATGGCCCGGCAGCATGCCGACGAAGAGGGAAGGCTCAACCTCGCAAGACAGGTGACAGAAGACAGTCCAAGCCTCGTTCATGTCCATCGATCGCGGCATCAACACCAAGTCTTGCACGGCACGCCGCACAGTTGTTTCGTGACAAAGTTGCTGACATGCATCTTATTCGGATGTGGAGTGTAATTCCCGCAATAATGGAGTCATTCCTGAAAGGGATGTCTAGTCGACCTGGTCATGTTCTTTTTCGTGTCGCCGCTCCCCCAATACTGCTGGTCTGATTGCTTAGAGCCTGGAGAAAGAAGCGTCATCATTCGAGGCCAGGCTGTCTTGTGCTAGAGCGGATCTGCACAAGGCGGACCACGTGCGCGAAACACTTGACCGGTTGAGAGACCAAGACGAGGTGGGTGGATGGGTAGGTAGGTGGGTGAGTGGGCTCTGACGAAGGGTTGCATTGAGATTGCCTTGGATTTGACGTACGCGTGCCAATAAATCCGGTCGATGGCCTCAGTTCATCCTCTGCTTGGTGTGTCTCCCATTATTTCTTCGTTTCAGTCCTACTCGATGCACGAGCTAGAATACCACTATGATAGTCCATGTTCGCGTGCGGACGGCGACGCTGAGCAACGACTAGGTCCAACAATCTCCCTCTCATTATGTCGACGTTTCGCGCCCGCCACCGCCATTGTTGTATCCGCTACTCTATACTCATCTTGACGTTTATCTGGTACAAAAAACGTGCCCTCGTATAACAATCAACTTGCTCCAGGTGGAGCGCAGGCGCTTGAAAGCTGTAGCGAGAGAGCTCGAACGTGCCTTCGAGGAGGTTCGAGCGAAAACGGACGAGAGCATCGAGCGCCAGCGAGAGGCGGAAGCCATGAAGATGGGAGCCCTGGCCGCATCCAAGACTGCAGCAGAGGAGAGGGAAGCGGCGCAACTACGATATATTCGGACCGAGGAGGCTGCTCGTCGGCTAGAGGCGGAACGCTCTAGCATCGCGCAGGCGAGCCACAACCTCCAGTCTTGTGCGGAGTGAAACAGTAGCAGAAACGACCACACTACATATCGCAACCGATTTTCTCCACTGGTACAAGTAATCTCATCTCTGGAGGAAGCTTCCCGTTACACTTGGCGTTCATCCGGTCTGTTTTTCGGTCTACACAATCACTCGCTGGCCTGGACGCAGGCACGGCCTTACGTATCATCTCCTACCTTTCATTCAGAAAGCCAACGCTATACCTTCCGTCGAAAATGTTTTCCGCACGCAAGCAAAGAGTCGAGGGGCAATCGTGACAGCAGTAGGCTGTAAATATCCTTTCCTTCGAAGCATATGGTCAGCCAAAGCCCCATAACTTCTCCAATGGTACACACCACAACGCACCGTGGTCTATGGGAAGCATGCTTTGAGACTCCACGGAATAGAAACGATTAGCAATTTGGTTGACGGGATTTCAGACAGCGTTGACCCTAAGAACTTTGGAAAGAACGGTCAGCGGGGAATGAGCCTAGCCATGCCACAGAAGCTGCTTGTGTTTTTTCGTCAGATGTTCCCAACGTGTATGTATCTCCTTGCTACAGCACACAATATTCTGCAGCATCGCTTCGGGATCGCCGTGCAGGCACTTTGAGTGAGCATTTCATTGAAGGATAGCAGGATCTTTTTTTCAAGAGAAAGCCCGAATGTTATATTCATCAAGCTGGTTGTGCAAGGGAACATCACTCATCCACCTCAACTACCCAGAATCATGTGAACATTCGAACCCATGGTGCTTCGACTATTGGTATTATCTTACCTTCACGCTTTCTTTTATTACTTTACAGGCGAGAGCTCAGTCCGCCACGGAATTGTCAACGTCGCGAAGACTAAAGGCTGAGCTGTCCAGAGCATTCGCCATCCAGCAGAGACAACAAGCAAAAGGGAAAAGTGCAGCAGCAGCCGACATCGCGCTTTCGCATCGCAACATGTCTCCAGGAGAGCAAGCTGGTAGCGGCAGAGGCGGCGGCGGCGGCGATACCGGTGGGGGAGGGTCGGTGGTTGCCAAGATGCCGGGTCTACCGACGGAGGCAACCTTAGGGCTAGCAGGTGCAGGAGGCAACGGGGTGGTGTTGCTTCTTTTCCCTCTTGTTGTCAAGGGAATCCCGGCGAGCACACGAGACCTTGAGAGAGAGAGAGAAAGACAGTTGCCCCTCGCACGGTCATCCGAAGAACGTAGTGGTGCGTGGGTGGCCCGTTCGTCATTCGCGGATAAAGTAGACGTGAATGTGCACGGAGTTGAAGGCTTATGTGACATTGGCACGACTACGTCACACCCGCGTTGGGATTCCCCGTCCTAAATTAGGGTACAAGCCTTTAGTCCGCTATTCATGGCGTGCCAGTCGTGCTGCAGTGACTTTTCTGAAGGCCCGGTGTGCCCGATTTCTGCCCGTGTGTGGGATTTAGTGACCATGTGGCCATACATGTCAACCTTCCTATGCAAGGTCATTACAAGTTTAGTTTTCCGTTCTCATATGCTAGCATGGTAAAATCACGATACCCTGGAAATAAAACAGCTGCGGCGCCAACAGATCCATCCAGAGCATGGAAGCGTCGCCCATCGACAAATTACCCTGACAACCATTGCTATTGCTCCTGTCGGCCATGTTACCCTCGTCCAGCCCATACCAACCCCCTTGAGCCAATACCAATCCCCGTTCAGGCAACCCTACCTCTACGGGAGGAATCGGTCTCCCCTTCACCGGAATCGCGGCGGCAGAGGCGACCCTGCAGGCCATCTCCTCGGCCCCTCCCTTCCCGGGGCTAGACATGGGGCGAGAATTAGGGAGGCTCGCGCGGAGAGCTGCAGACATACGCGAGTGAGTGGTCTCGTTTTCTACGATTGGTTGACGGACTGCGTACCATTCTGGTCGGAAATATAGGGACCATTGACAACCTCATAAGACTATTGTAGATTCCGAATGGTCGTTACATTTCCGGTGAGTGGAACACGTTATGGTAAGTTTAAGTTTGTCGAGTTTCAATCGAGGCCAACTATGATTCAAACGAAAATATGCAAGTTTTGATCCATTTCGAGGTAAACTGTTGCCCAGTTTGGGAATGTATTGCAGGATTCTTGAAGGGAACCTCGCGGGGAACAGTCCGCGCGCGTAGAGACCCGCATCACCAGCAGCTTTCCGTTTGCTCCGAATTCAACAGTTGAATGACCATGAAGGAAATGCGACGAGCCCGCGCTACTTTCGTATCCCTTGTTCGTTTGTTTATGGTTCGGCCCAGGTGCACGAGAGAACAGAGCGTTTTCCTCATGTCCAGCCGTGCAGCGAGATTCAGCCCAGCGCCCCTCACGGTGTCTGATAACCCACAAGAATCGAAAATCGCAAGTGACATGGGTGGTCTGGAAGGGCCCGGACGTTTCCCAGGAGCCCAAGCTTTTCTCAGCAGCACACGTCGGGGTAGTGGTAGTAGCGTCGAAATCGACGCCATGATAGGGCAGCAGGTTGTGGGCGGGATCAGTGGGACGGAACGTCACGACCTCGGCGCGCTGGGCATTGGTTTGTCCAGCGCGGTCTTGGAGGAGTTGGACAACATCGAGAGGGCGTGTTCGCAACGATCGTCGGCATTGAAGGAGGAAGAGCAATTTCTCGAGACCTTAGGACAGACCGAAAGCCCAGTGTCTGCTTGATACACCGCGGTGGTGATGGTGATCACGATCCGAGAGTGTTGCAGAGTAGTTCCAAGCTGTGGTATCTACAAATATTGTGCTCTGTAGCGTTTTTTCCAATAAATGGTTCAACCTCGTACTCAAGTAAGTCTAGTGGAATAGCTTAGCATTCTCCGGCTCTTGGTCGAACAAGAATACCTCCTTCTCTAGAGGCAGGGCCCCGTGAAGGGAGAGGGAGGCGGTTTGACCGTCCATCAGCGGAGGGGCTAGGTTCAACAGTGGGCAAGATTACACACAATCCATTAAAGAGCCATCCGATTGTTATTGGTCGCAGCAGTTGGCGGTTGTTTCCTTGTTTCACCAATTCACGGGCCAACGGGATTTTATCCTCAGGTCTCTGCATACATCTCTACTGGGTGTGTGCTATAGGTCCTGTGCTGCCTCCAACCGCGGGGCGGACGTAACCAACCGGGAGTTCAAACACACATCGGCCCAGCATCGCCGTCTTTGAATGGGTAGTGCTTATTCATACGGCGACGGGGTTCATGGACACTCAGCAGTAGCGGGTGATCCCGTTTACGGCACCTTCCTACATTATATAACTTTCCCGGTTTTGGTGAAGTGCTCCCTTCCGGGATACTCCGGTGTACGGTGATGATACCGATGTTGACCAATGTTGACCGACAATTGTTCGGGTTGTGCCCTCTGCTGCCACGTCAGTGGATTGAAAGTGCCATCCAGTACTGCAGAGCACAAAACGACGATACGACGCAACTGAAGCTGTTTTCGGATTGAACAGGCCAATGTTTTCCCCAAAGTTGGTAACGTGTAAAAAATAACGACTACTGCAATCAAGTGCCAAGATGCAAGGGCTGTCAACAGCATTGACCTGTGTAAAATCTGAACTGTTTAAGTCCCCTCCCGAACCCCGTAACCTGCAAACTAAAATCTTGACAGATACCATGATGGTGCGTCCAAGCACGGCACTACAACGCCCACACCCATAAAAGAAATAAATATTGGTACCCTCTTAGCTATAACGTGGCGCTTGTCCACCTATCTGACACTTGGCAGCCAGTCATGCCGAGGAATGCTATTTACCCCCGAACACATCACTACAACTACCCCATTCAAAACAAAAACAAGGTCGAGCGTTGGGCGGTTGGTTGCCCCAACAATCCAACCGGAGCTGATGTGCATCCAGCACACGCTACCTTCTCCTCGCAACGAGACAACATATACACCCTCCAATGTATCGCTTTGGAGGCAGTTGCCCCCGGAAAGTGTAAAAATTTACCAGGTACACAACACACAGCTATTCTTAGGTACCACACAAAGCACCTGCGGCCGGAAGTACACCCCCTTCGGCACGGCACGAAATATGTCGAATACGTTGCTCCCTCCATCACTGTGGGATTCGAGTGAAACTAAAACGTCATTCTTGAAGTTGCGGCATCGTCTGGCCCCGTTTCCACCGCCAGTCTGAAAACAACATTGTGTTTCCGCTATCAAACATCAACCCAAACTGACCGGTTTAATCTTCACCGAGATGAAGTGGCTTCCCACCCTGCTTGTCGCAGTAAATTCCACGCTACGTTGCCGTGCCAAAACATACCAACGACCGCGCTATGCTTTACCAACCCCGACGCCAGGAAAATTATTACAGGCCTCATACCGCCGTATATATGAAGTTCTCCTGCCCGTACCACGAGTAAAAGAAATGGCATTGAGCTCTAAACCTCCCCCCAAACTACAGCACTGACCCGCTCATAAGAGACATCTTCACAACAAATCGAGCCCCAGATGTAAAAACAAATAGAGAAATGAAAACATCGGGCTCAGCCGCCGGCGCAACGCTAAATCCTATACAGTAGCTTTGAAATAGGCGTATCTTACCAGCGTGCCGGCACTGCACGCGATTCACCGGTTGACCAGAACTATTTCTGCATCATCGCAGCGCATACCATATTTCCCAAACACATCAAAGCGCGAACCCATCAATTAAAACTGAAACGGAAACCTTGTCACATCACGATCAACCAAAACAATGTGCACGAACACCCTGACCACACTAGCACGGAAATAGGACCCATTTTCTGAGCGCTTCAAAACCAACGCTGTCTGATCTACAGCCTTCTTCAAGCATTTCGGCGGTGGTCTTGGGGGCGTAAGGGCGGGGAGGAGGGTTCCCGATATATAATCGGATTACCTCCCCACCGCGAAAGGTACACGAATACCATATTCATACTGCCAACTGCTGTTGTCGCGTCACACGTTTGCCCCATCCGGGTGCAAACGTGCTAAAGATGGGGTCAAAAGAACACCGGGGGACCCCACTAAATAGTGTGCGAATGGCAACATCAGTGGCGCGCGAAGGCAACCACAAACACATATACACATATCTTGAGAAAAAAAACACCGACAAGGGGACGCCGCGCAGAGCGAAAGAAATACACCCAGCTGAGCTAAAGATACACTAACTGGCACGACAAGGACATGTATTGTACTGGGGAAAATACATGCGGAATGCAAACAACAGCGCAACGCACAGGATGATCTAGAGATGTCTGTACTCTCTCGCACACGTCTTTCACGAGAACCTTCGTCAGCCAAAAGCTGCGCTGTGCTGCATCGGACATGATGTGCTACTTTCTTTCGGTGGTCCTCCCCTTCAGGCGATCCGGCCGCCCTCTTTCGACAACACACAACCTCTTCAAGCAAAGTCGCGACAGCAGCTCGATCAGCGTGGCGAGTTTCGCCAGCTTCTACAACGAGAAAAGCCAAACAAATTTCACGTCTTCCGGCAGAGATTTATAAGTCAATTGCAGCCAAATACTCTAGCTTCAAACACTTGTCTAACCCTCCCATACCCAACGGTTGTAGTCAGCGGGTGGGACTACCTTTTGCAAGGTCGGCGGTGCCCGCCCTTCGTCGTAGTCGTAGTCGCAGCCGGGGCACCCGCACGCCATCAGCCCATTCACCGGCCTGCTGCTCGACTTTACGTGGCAGTGCCAGGCACGCTTGAAGGTGGCAAGCTCGGCCTTGGAGTAGAAGTGTTGGCGTCTGCTGGCCTTGTTGCCGTACGTCTGCCGTCGATTCTCGATCTGCACTTCCTAGAGTACAACGAAATCAAAACGCGCGTGTGTAGAATGGGGGGATACTCAATGTCGTGACAGCAGCAGCAGCAGCATCGTTTGTCCACCCTCGATCGCCAAAAGCGTTTGATGCCGTGTCTTGCACGCTTTGTTGCACCCAGCAGACGTCACACCGAGACCAAGAATTAGAACGGCAAGATCCGCAGAACTCTTGGGAGAACAAGCGTGCCCTCTAGGGCTAGATCGTCATTTGGGGCCACTTTTTGGCCCCTTTATTCTTCACGTGTTCTAGCTCGCGAAGAATTGCTAACCCTATCCTCCACCTTTGGACTCCTCGACAAAGGGGGGTGCCGGGGGTACACGGGGAGAGCTATAGCCTAGTGTGCGTGCCTTGTAGAGGGGAGGAGTAAGAGGGTAGTGGCAGGGAGAATCGCGGGACGATACATGCAGTGCAGGTTCATGTGCGAAGTTGCGCCGCGACTATCCTGTGCGTAGGTGGAAAGCGCCATTAGGGGCACCGCGGGAGAAGCAACTCGCCCACCGATGAAAGGAGGCACAGGGCTGGGTCTGAGGAATATGTAAAAAAACTTCCTTTTCGTGCCCTGTTTAACACGCTCCGGCAGTTATGTTTAGTAATCCCTATCAAATCGAGGGGCCATCTGATAGGGGTTTTGGACAAGGGTCGGCTCAGGGCTCAGGTGAGGAGACAGCTTTGCAATTGCACCCAGGACTGGAACTGCTGCCCGCATCATCCAATCAGTAGTCATCGCTCGTTCTCTTTCTTACATTTCAGAAATTTCGCAACAACACTGAATTTTTCTGTGCGTCCTAAAAGGGGTTAACCGCTTTTCCACAAAGCTGAGGCTAGGTCTCATTACCCGCTTTTTTGCACCCAGACTTCAAACCCCAACCCCGAGCGAGAAGAGCAAGATTCATAGAATTCTCTGCGCAAACACAAAATTCTCTGTGCAAAAGCGTGGGGGATCTTCACCGCTTTACCAAAACCAGAACGAGAGTTGGAGTTGAGTGTGCGGCAAAAACAACGAATAGGCTGTGGTGGAGGTTGCACTGGTATGCGGCTGTGTGGAGATATGGAGATGGGGCTGCGGCCAGTGAGCTCCCTGAACCGCGCGGGCCGGGAACACCCTCAGGCGCAAACCTCGGCGGGAGGGGGGGCAAAACTACAGAGAACGGCGGCACATCTGTGTTAGACTAGCTTGCGGCACCGGTGGCAGCAGCAGCACTTGCCGCTAGTTGTCGCGCTGCTGTTGGTCAGCATACTGTACGAGGACATATTCCCGTTGTGTGGTGTGCGAGTGTGAAAAGTCTCACTCGTACTGTGTGGCAACTTGGCGAGTGCGCGACAACCACAGCAGCAGTCGTGCTGTCTTTGCTTTCTTACCTCGAGGAGACGAGGAGATCACCTGCCTGTTGGGAACTCGAGGTTGTCGTTCGCCAAACTCACGGTTTGGCCATTTGTTACGGTGTATTTTGATTAGATCTCCCCCCCCCAAAAGAGACGACCCAAAAAATGATCTACAAAAAAGATGATCCCCTTCTTGCGGTGCTGGTCCATCCTTTTCTCTATTCCGAGCCATCGACCGAAAAAAAGAGCCCCTGCAAAGGCCGTTCGTCACACATACATACACCTTCCACCGCTATGGTGTTTCGGTGATATCTCCGCACACAGTGAAGCAACAGCGATGACAAAGGCATCCGCCATGAGCTGTGTGTATGGTCCGTCTTGGGTGGTGGCTGTTAGAGACCACAGGGCGAATGAAGGCACGGAAACTGAGGTGGCGAGGGTCAACAGCAAGCCGGAAAAATACCCACGGCGCCAGCAACCAGTTTTTTTTTGCTCTTTGGCCTGTGTCGCAACTTTGGTTCATCGATGCTCCCTCGCCACCCACTCCAGCAACAGCGATGACAAAGGTATCCGCCATGAGCTGCGCGTATGGTCCGTCTTGTATGATGGTTGACACAGATCAGGAGGCTATAGGGCGCCCAAAAGTTGGGTTCGCAAAAGCTGACAGCACACCAACAAAGACCCCCCGCAGCTGCGTCCAGACTATCTCGGCTCGTTTGCCGCTTGTTTGCGTCGCACACATCGGGTTGTCCACTTGGTCCAGCCGAATGAAAAAACAACGCTATCGCTGATGCTACTGACTCTGCACCAGTCACATGACACAGCTCGTGTGAACACCGTTAGAGTTTGCGGGGATCACCCGTCGAGAGATTAAGTTTGTAGGTAGCATCATGTGGTTGTGACCAAAAAAAGACCACAGAAAAAGACAGCCCCGACTTATCCATAACTGCCCCAGAAAAAAACAGGATGGGCTGTCCAAAACGGGTTGTCTGTTTTTGTTGACCTTTTTCCCCTGAAAAAGACACCGTGAGAAGGGGTTCTGTGGCCAGTTGTCTTTTTTTTTAAAAAGGAAATACGAAAAAGACAACTAAAAAAAAAACCCGTAAGAAATGGCCTTAGTTAGGGTTTCATTTAATCTCTATATGTGAGCCCGCTTTTGTAATCCCGAGGAGATACAACTTGCAGGAAGTTCAGGTGGGAAACAAGACAAAAGAGCGGTCTCGTCATTTCTCCGCTAATCAAACCGAGACTTCTGTGGATCTTACAGCTCGAACTGTTGGTCTGGGTGTGAATAAAGTCTCGGTGCAAAAAAATGGTTGAGATCTAGCCTGCGTGCAAAGGTCAGGCGGGAGCGCAGATATAGAAGGATCAAGAGACCCGGTGGCGACGGTGCGGTGCCTTCCACGTTGCGAAATGTCTTGCTGTTTCGAACGCACGAACGCTCTGTACCATGGTATACAGTTCTCTGTACTCATCGCCGATCAATTCTGAGGCTACACTGTCCATTCTCTTTCGCAAGGCATCTACTTGTATGGACGATCGTACCTGACGTCACGCGCGAAAGGTGTTTCACCTAGACCTATGAATAGATATCCTCTACGAACGTGACCTCCGCAGCAAGGTGTTTGTATTGCACTGTATGTCGACAAAAAGTGAGAACATCTGAGGCGGTTGGCTGACTAAATGGGAATTAAATACCCTCCATCCACCACAACAGCCGAGGTGTGACAGAAAATTCTTCGCCAGACCGCGCAATTGGTGAAGTGCATCTACGTCGTACATGCCACATGCCCGGTGTGGGTACTTCTTGTGGCACCACCACAGGAGGTGACCCCGCATGGGCTCGCTACAGCGGCATTTTTTGTTACAAATCGCCGTGCACGACCGGCTACATTAATTCGCTCAAATTCAACGAAGACATCGTCCAACAACCAAGACGAGCAAGCGGTACGATATTTTCGTAGAGTTGCATGCTCCATACCCATGCTCTCAAAAAACCAAAACGTCCACCTATGTTATCGTGTGGATCCTACCAGCCTGTCGAGTGTACCCCCCGCCCCCCTCCCCGGACCCCTTGTAGCATACAATAGATCTAGACAGAAATCGAAGCCCGGGATCTCATTCTTCGTGCGGACCGAGTGCTGTTGTACATACAGTATGTACTTCGTAGATCAGGTCGCTTCACCTGAAGCTCTAGGGTCTTACAGAAGTACAGAGGTGCGGCCGGGAAATCAAAAACGAAAAAAAAAAATGATGGCAGACTTCGTGGGGTGGCCCTTACCTTGACTTCCTCGCTGAAGGACACGTTCCGCGCCACCTGTGGCTGGGTGTCGGGAAGACCGCTGGCGTCGGTGGCGGTCGCGCCACCTGCTGGGCTTGACACTGCTGCGGGATAATCATCCTCCTCGTACGCATATTCATAATAGGTACTACGAGGAGGAGGAGTAGCTGGAGCGGCAGGGGGCCGCGGAGTGCTAGGATGGGACGCAAAATGCGTCGCTGCCCCCTTCAAGTCGACGCCACCGCCGCCGCCGCCACCGGTGCGCGCGGCTGCAGCCAAGCCGCCTTTCCTCCTCCTTCTCAGGCGGCCTCTGTCCTCGCCGAAGGCTGCGTTTCTGGTGGATAGCCCCAACCTCTTTTCCTCCTCTGCACTCAAGCCAAAGCCATTGGTGGCGTAGCTTTCGGGGTGGTGGTGGTGGTGGTTGTCCCGGCCGGCGGCTTGCTGCGTGCTCAAGGACTTCTTGTGAAGCACGAGCACGCGCAGCTCCGAGATCCCGCGCGTGTTGTTGTTCGATCGCGGATCATGCGGTCGCAGGGCCATGATGCCAATGCCGGCTGGGGTGATGCTGGTTGGATAATCGGTGCTGTTTCAAAGAGAGTCACTGCGCGCTGGAGCCACGTTCCTGGCGACCTGGCGACCTGGCTCCCTTGATCTGTAGGTATCTTCCCTCTGCGCAGCGAAAAAGACGGGCGACGACCAATGGTTAGGTTTGTGAGACGGAAGGTGAACGGCAGACGTTCGAGAGCGGACCGAAGGCGGGATGCAGAGAATTACAGAATTACGTACAGTGTGAAACTGGAACTACATGCATTGAAACCCACAACAGCATTATGCATGTGCTTCATCATGTGCTGCTGCGCGGATGCAGGAGCAGAAGCAGTTACAATAGTTAGTTGTGGCTGCTGTCTCGTACATGATTTTAAGGGCATGCATCATCGACACCACATCGCACAAACCGAGCGGGAAATTCTCGAAACGCGAACGCGCCGTTCATTTGGTCCCTCTCTCATTTGTTGGTGGCCACGCACAGGGCGCCGAGCAGGAAAAAATCAACTCTTTCTTTCTAAAAAGGTGACACACCAGCCAGTTGCGTTCATGCTCTACAGCAGCAGGACCAACCCAACCTGTGTTTGCATACATGCTGTTCAAGGCACGTTTCTTTCCCCCTGCTGTCTCTTTCGCATGTGCGACACACGCACGATGTGCTGTTCTAAGAGGAGTAGCCTGGAGTGGGTGCATAGGTCACACGATCCCCTACACTACAGGCGGGCAAGTATATGCATACAACCAATGCGTGTGTGTGACAAACATTTGCTTGCTCCATGCGAACCCAGCCACACGGAGACAACACACATAGAGCGGCACGTCAATGCGTGTGCCCGAAAGCTGCTGCAAAGTTTCTAGACTTCTGTTGGTGCGGAGAGCAAAGCACCACCCCCGAATCATCGCACGGTTTTGCCCTCCATGGTCCCGCCAATGGATATTCTGACAACCCCCTCCTGCGGCCGTTGCTCGCGCGGCTACACAGCCGTTCAGCCACTGCTCAGGACCGAGCCAACCATTAGCGCATCGGACTCTGTCTCTCTCCCGTCCGCACGCTCACGGGGATATTGATGCGCTCAACGTAAGCGGTAAGGTTTGACCCCTCAATCTCCACGCTACCTCGCTCAAGACGTTCCAAATCGAATGAAATCGTGTACGGCGAGCCAGGGCGGACTTTTGGTGCCGTCCTCTGCTTCCCTTGCACACATGTGACAACAGCAGCAGCAGCCGAACTTTTGAATTGATTTTGGCGGCAGGGCCCACAAAAGCTACCGAGAGGTTTTTGCTGCCAACTACGCACACACCAAGGAGGGGACCGAGGGAAGCGTGAAACAACAGAGAGTGCATGAACTCAACGGACATTCGGTAGGTGTGGGTGGCCAACCCGTGCGTGCTCGGCTACCCTATCCAGTGACGACAGAGAGACCGTTGGGTTACAGCACAACACGCGTGACCTGCTCTGCTGCCGGCCTAAGCTCGCTCTCTCAGCTGGCTTTTGCATGGCATCGTCACCCGCCAATTCTACCTACACATGTTAGCCAATTCCAATCGTTCTTCTCCCTTACCTTTGCTTGCTGCCTCGACAACCGCCAGCCAGGGCAATGCAGTCTTCCTGCGCTATAGAAACCGGTTTTGGATCCCTCGAGAGCTTGAGAAGGGGGCAGCAGGGGAGGGGTAAACAAACGGGCAGAAAGCGACTGGAACTTCGCCCGAAAGACGTGTAGTGATCAGATTAACACGTGGTCCGCAGACGAGAACAACAACACATTTCAAATTTCTTCCAATCAATAGTCTTCTATCTATAGGCCTTATTTATAGCATGTTTTGGTGGTTCTTCAGGTCTAACTGGACGTTGAACCTACGTACAGGCGTACAGCAGTATACTTCGTAGATGGTAGGTTATAGTGAAGTTCCTCACAGGGATGTGTCGATGTGTCACACACCGCGTGGCCAACGCAACCCAACCAACCGTAACCAACCGTATCCCTCACCCACGGCCAAGGCACGGCCTAGCGGCCGCGAAAACTGATTTTTCCAACGAGTTGGGGGTGGGAGGAGGAGGGGGGCGATGTAAACAAAAAAAACGCGGTTGGGCAATCTGGCAGTCAGTACTCTCCTGATCCTCCTCCTCCCCCTTCCATTTATTTGCAACATCGTGTTTAGTTGTGTGCGTGGTGTGTGTGTGACCCGCTCGGCTGGTGCGTCAAGCCAGCACTATATTTTCTTACTATGCATGCATACCTGGTCCATGTATGCAGTACTGTATGCTGTCCATGTATGTAATGCTAGTAGCTGGTAGTAGTAGTAGTGTGTACATCGACCAGCAATTGACTTATTATTAATACTACAAATTAAATGCTCACACACTTGCAGTATAATAGTAGTTGCGCCCCCCGAACGACAGTCTACAACGTAAATTGGGGTCAAGGCATCGAGGCTCATTTTCATATATTTCACCATGCATTATATTACCTTGAAATCGTAATGTTAATGTTTGGTGTCATCCGTCCTGCGGTCGGTGGTATGTTGGCCAATTCTAATGCCCCCAACTTCCTTCAGGTTGGAGTCGATGTTTTTTCTTTGATGTGTGGCGTGTGTGTCTTTTGTCCTATTACAGTCCAATTATTAGCATCGACCGCTAACCGGCTGACCAATGAAAAGACGTCAAGCGTGCGTGTGTGTGGGCGTCTAACCGGGTCTCAAGAACAAGGCCATCACACGGAGGAGGTAACTAACCGCTGGGTGGTTGTCCATTCCCCGGCCACTGTCCTTGCAACGACCGTGCATGACGCAGCAAGACAAGTAGTAAGTTCTGGTGAAGTCTCTGTGCTAACCGTTCTTTTCCTGTCACAGAAACTACGCAGCTGCTAACTGCTGTAGAATTTCTCCGAAGAGTCAACCCCTTGGTGTTAGAGAAGACGAGGTTGAAGCGTATCTGTCTGCCTGTTGTCTGTTGAAACGCCAACCCCTGGGGGTTCAGCTACATGTAACCTGACAAACGGAGGCGCCCGCTGCTTCTGTTGAACCCTAAATAGCACACAAAGATAAATAAGGAGCAGAGATCGAATTCTTAAATGTAAGACGACGACACAATCGAACACACGATATTCTTTCTCTCCCATTTCTACCTACTCTACAATACGGACTTTGGCCTCCGATCAAGGGGTCACACAGAAGAATACTTCTGCAGCATTACTTTTTTGCCTTGAACCTTCGAATGCGAGCAGGGCTCAGCCGTCTGTCCTTCCCCCCAAGGTCTATCCACAAACAAGCGCATGTACTACACAATCGCGAGGTACGATATGGGGAACAAACGAACATGGACGACTGGTTTACTCTCTACTCATTGACGTCTCTCCCGCCCCATACAAACAACGACAGCGTGTGGTGTGCATCCATCATACATTCAGGTACACTAGGCTCCATACATGCACATCGCTGAAGCGGTGTACCCTTAGCTGAACGGAACACAACCATATCAACACACACACACCTTGACGCAGCAAAGTCGCTCAGACCCATCCGCCAACGACCCTCAATCCGAGAGTGGATTGCTTCATGTTTCAGGTGTTCAACGATTGGAAACATGTCCTTTGTGCGCAAGTTAAACGACAGAGAAATACGGAGTACATCGATCAACAGCAAGCTCAAAAGAGTTACTACGCGACGACGCCTTGCATACATAACATCTCGAATTGAAAACACACCACAGACTCCGCTGTGCGTACTCTGTAGACGTCACGCAATTCTCCATCATTCCTCATCCTCTACTTGTAAAACCAACCAGTAATCGACCACCCTCAGCTGCCCACATGGATGTATAAGCCATGATGATTACTCCTGCAACCTTCATGAATGCTTCGGTAGACCCTGCACAAACGGGCCGTATATTGTATAGACATAAACTAGAGACAACAAACAACAACGCAACCTCGCCAGGGAACGCTGCACGACAATATTGTTGCTTCAACCCCCCCCTCAAAAAAAAAAAAACTGTCTCCGGGATACATAGATAGCAAATCATTGGCCCGTTCTCGCCTCCCCTCGACATGATGTACACACACACCTCAACAACCTGAAAAATGCTGACGTAGAATACCCGCACGGCTCTAGCCGTTCCTCATCCAGAGAACACAACACTACCTCCCCCCCCCCCCCCAACGTTTTCGAAAACACACAATTCTTGTAGCAAAGCCCAATTGGGGCGCTCATGGAGGAATGAGAGGGACTACCGCGCACCGTGAAGCTTGTTGGGGTTCTGGTCTGCACCGGTCGTCTTTAACCGCCACGGGATACAAGCGCAGAATACCCTCCGATGAGCGCTACTTGGATTAAATTCTACTCGAAGACAAGCAAACCATTCTCGGCACAGGGTACAAGTGAAAACTCAAAGTAATGGCGTTTGTGTTTTCTCTGATAAAGCACCGCTACCGGTCAACCAATCGGTACATGCCGTGCGTGCTTTCTCGCCCTCTCTGAGAGTACCCTTCCCGTGGGGAAAAACGAAGGCACCCGAGCAAAACAAAAGCCACCCTGAAAATAATTCAAGAGCAAAAAAAAAGTGCCTTTGTGCACCATCATCACCTGCATCTATCTTCTCTCGCACCAGTGACACGGGACGTGTGCAGCAGGCAGGTACCCACCGACAAAAAAAAAAAAAAGCGCAAAATCGTTGCGATCCCCAAATCTCAGACAAACCTCCCGTCACCACAAACCCCGAAAACCTGCTTCGTTCCAACCACACGCCTGTACAACATTTTCGAGAACGCCGCCCTCCGAACCGTCAAGACACTACGCCACTTCCGCCGGCACGCCTCGCAAGTCTAAGTTTGTTCACGAGACGGCGCAGCCGAGAAAAACCGGCCATCACCACAAAACAAACCCCACAAAAAACGAGAGGGGACAGACCCCAGCAGCTTGCAACTCAACGCTCGGGCGTTGCGCCTCGGCAATCAACAATTGAACCGAACATGTAGCGACGAACGCTCTAGATACCCACCCCTCTATCCCTTGCGAGCCCACGCGGCCCACTCACGCCATCAATAAATAACTACAAGACATGGCCATGCCACGGCCCGATTCTTTCAAGTCCTACGTTGGGAAAAAACGCGACTACTGCGCACCTTGTTTATAGAGTATGATGTGTACCGACCCGTCCAATGGCCGCTCCTGGTAGAGGAAGCTAGCTCTACTCCCCCTTGCTGGCCGACAAATAAGTTTTCAACCCAGTTAGTTAGTGTCCTTACGATTTCATCACAACCACGGTACGCAACAAACAGAACAAATATCGTACGCATACACGTTCGTTCGAATCTCTCGTCTCTCATCTCTCAAACAGAACAAATATCACACGTCGCTTGTCTCTCAAACAGACAAATATTATACACGTTTTGCCACCTCGCTCGTCTCTCATCAGGCAATAAAAGCAACCACACTCAAAGCTCTCGGCCGGAGAAAAAACATGTTTCTCTCAAACAGCACCGCCCCAGCATGAAAAAAAAATAATCGCAACACCACAAGCAGTATTTACAAACCAAAACAAAAAGTGTTTCCCCAATAAAATGGTAACCGTTATCCACCAAATCGCACGCGCGCCATTGGTCGACACGAGAGTATCCAACCGCGTGAGGTACACCATACCAGGCGCTCTCCTAAATCTGGTGCCCACAAGGAAAACCACCCCCCGGCTACGGCAGCATCACCAGGCCGCAACGTTTATTACTGTAGTTACGAGGGCAAGAAGTGCGTCTTGATGTAGAGATCGCTGAAGCCTTGCAGGCGGAGGGTCTTGTACGCGTACCCTTCCCCGTGGCACTTGACTGCCTCCCTGACGCTCGAGGTCACGCCCCAGTCGTCCAAGCTGCCGCCCCGGTTGTGCGACCTGGTCGCCGGGGGCACCGCCAACGAGATGCTCCCCACCCCCCACGTCCGACTGCGCGTGTGCGAGTGAAGCCGCCTGTTCCTGCCTTCGGGGGCGGGGCATGGCCGTTGAGTCGGCCTTGTCTCGGCGGCGTACTCGAAACCCCCGCCCCCGCTGCTGCCGCTGTCCTCCTCCTCCTTCTCCGGGCTGTCTTGGAACACCGCGCCCACCGGGGAAGGGGGCTCGTGGTGGCACTCCGGCTGCTCGCTCCCGTCTCCCCCGCTTCTACCATCGTGTGCGTAGGGATTGGGCGGAGGTGGCGGAGCATGGTCGTATGGGCCGTCCTCTTTGCCCATGTGAGCGTCTGCTTGGGAGGAGGAGGCACCACCACCAGCAGACGAAACCGCCGCCGAGTATATGTGCGGACCTCCCTCCACGAGGTCGTCTCGGCAGGCGTCGCAGTTGCACGGGAGCACGTCGTTGCCCCTGCACCAGTCCGGGTTGTTGTCGCGGTGCCTGCGGTAAGCCTCCTTGAAGGCGGCGTACTCCGTGCGACAGTAGAACGTGTTGCGCACCTCTTCCTCCTTCATTTGCTCGATGAACACCGTCTGTACCAAACACCGACAAAAATTCAGCAAGGGCGGGGCGGGGGGGGAGGTCAAACGAGAAGGCCGGACCCCAAAACCACGGTAAAAACGACACTGGTGCGCCGAAGTGGCAGCAATCCTCATCGTATTAAACTACGCCACCATTGGTGTTGGCACAGTTTTCTAACTCTTTTTAACTGGAGCTTTGTAGATACCACATCAGGTGGGGACTATCAAAGGAAAGGCCCTAAAAAAGTCTGCCATCCACCGCAATGCTTCCACCTGCTGCGCGGAGCGACGTCCGAGTTGGACCGATTATTTCTCAAGTGGAGAAAGACAACGAATACTTCGGAGAAAAAATATACTGAAAATACGTTTGAAAATTCAGAGAGATTGCATGCCCTACGAATAACAGGGTGCCACACACGAAACGCCCGACTAACACCTTTCTGCTGCACCTTCAACAACATAACATATATGAGACACACAAAACAAATACGAAACTGTTTTCTTGAGCCTGTTACCCGCAGGGGAGATGTCCCTATATGCTGTCTGGGAAATCGTAGACATACAGGTAGCTTTTTCTGACGCTATGAATTCATTGCTAGTCTGTCTCTGACTCTTTTCTATGATATGTAGAGATGGATTCGTTGTGTCATATTAAGAAAAAAAAGAAAAGATGAAGCATGAAAAATTAGAACAATTTTCGGGATCCAGAAGACTTGGCAACTTTACTGCGTTGTGGACATTTCTTGTGGTGTTCCGCCTGTCTCATTTCTGCCGTACTCTTCAAACACAGCGTTTCGCCCACACAAGCACACAAGCCCACAAAGGTTGGATGAATTTCTTCACGTACATACGTACGCATTTGTGCACAACACGCCGTGATAACTTGCGCAAAAAGATCAGCTCTTCGGGAGAGCAGGGGGGGGCTCTTATAACCAATGTGGCTGATTCGATTAGCTGTGGTTTGCGAGGAGAACAGCAGTCGGTTTTCCCCCACTCACTGAAAAGACTTCAGCACATCCCTTTCGACCGCGGTTACAATATCTCTTACGGGTACGTCGTGGTTTCCGTGAGATATACAAGTACTCTTTATACTATATATAATACAGTACTTTCTAAAATCTTTCGGGGAAACTTGGTCATCATTACACAACAACGCGGACAACCTTGACAAAACAACCGCCTCCAACCAAACTAATGTCTCTCACTCCTCTCTCACCGTCACATCAGTAACAAAGGAAACCCGCGGCCGGGAGGTTGCCGCGCCGTGTCCGTGCGCGCTTCCCCGGGCACTACTGCCGCTGTCATCGTCTTGGCATCCCTCGTGCGCAGACGCAGACGACTCGCTGTTAGTCCTCGAAAGCGAGGACGCCGGGGAAGCCGGCACCGTCATGGTGAAGCTCCTTGGCTTTCTGGGCTTGGCGCTCTTTGCCCTCGACAGGAAACCAACCACCGACCGGAGCATTTGTTTGCCTTTCGATGGCGAAGATGAGGAGGCGGACGGGGCGTGCGCTCGGCAGCCTTCGCCTCCCGCAATGCTCTTGCTGCGAACAAGATTTCGGCTGCGGGTGCTGCGGGTGCTGCGGGTGCTGCTGCTGTGCATTAACTTCCGGCGGCTGCCGATGTCATCGCCGCCGTCGCTCTCTTTGGTGCGGTAGCTCCATCGCCGTTGTTCTCGCTCGAAGTGGAAAGAGTCGTCGATCGTCAAGGACGCACTGCGCCCGATGACGCTAGCCATTGCACTCGAGACGGAAGCTTGGATCACTTTACAGCCTTGCTCAGGTGCTGCTGTATTTCACACGAACGACAGGCAGCGGCGGAGGAAGCAAATTTACTGTGAGAGGAGAGCCGCAAGGGGGTAAAAGCGATGCAGCCACATGCAGCTACTGCTGCTGTAGGTCCTCTTTCACCCCAGGTGCACATGCCTCACCTTACACCTTTCACAGCAGTGGTCTTCGACGATATAATTACGCGAAAAGAGAGCCGTTGTATGCATGCCTATCGCATGAAACATGAAACCTGCTTGTACATGGTGAGTGGTGTGCAAAGATCCTGGCATAATAATGGAAGTACGTTTTAGTGAACATACAAAGGAGTGCAACTTCAAATTCACGCGTAACATCACGCCCCTTTCAGATGGTATGCAACAAATACGCGAGCTATATGTAACTATTTGCGCCCCCCCGCACTACCGTACCTGCTATGCATACCATCTTCATCAAACATGTACGTACTCCGCAAATTAATCCCAAGCTGAAACCACCTCATGTGTATATTTGTAATTGTATGGTACAGGCACACCTTTTCCACCTTTTGGCACATGCAAACTGCTGTTGCGTACGTATACCTCCTCTTTACTGCTATCTCTCCATAACGATCATGTGTGTGGAAAGTTGCAAAGTTAAAGTTGGTTAGAGAAACTTGGAGGGGCAAATGCATGCGTGCTGCACACGTCGCGGATTGGCAGCATCATCTGTGGTTTCTCGTTCACCGAAAAGAGATTCATGTGGGAACACCATCGGAATACAAATACAACCCCTTGGTTGTAGGGAGACCAGAGGTCGGAACAGTTTCGACAGCAGTAGCGTCAAGGCTCGGAAAACTGCACCAACCACATTTTTAAACACGTATACACGTGCAGACAGTACAGCAGAAGTGCAACCCTTTCGAGCCATCCCATGGCTGCCGCTGTAAGACGGCCACACGGTTGGGTGGACGTGGCCACAAGGATCCATCCAATAAAAGATGCATATCTGCGTCTGACACACCACACCTCAACACCCCGGAAGTTCCGTGCAACCTCACTTCATCATGTCATATCCTCTCAAACCTCAAGACACCTTCGATGATGTTGGCCGATGTTTTATTTTTGTAGGTGAAAATTCAACACCCGAGAGGGAGCGGTGGCGGAGTCTCTGCGTTATAACTTCAACGACGCCAAGGATTAATATCAACTCTCACAGAAGTGCCAACACCCAAATGCGGTGCACGGCACGGGCGGTATGCCCAGCTGGGCAGGGGAGGGGAGGGTTCCAAACTGCAACGTCTCCGGTTGACCTTTTCGTCTTCAACACTTGGAGAAGGAAAGAACACATCGAACATCGAAGAAACAAAAAAAAAGCCCGACCTTTTGTGGTCGAGGCCAACAGGCCAACCGACAACCAACACCCACACAAATTTTATGAATTTGTTGCTTGCGACATCCTTCGCCGCATTCGGTGTGTTTGATATCCATTGCGCCAACTGCTGTCAATCAATATGCCATCTACGGTCGCATTTGCACTTGCGGACTCGGGTGACGTGACGCGCTGCCAAAAGAGAGCGTTCGCTGAGCCAATCGCGTGCCCGTCCACGCCACAGAATTCTTACCCCCACAAGATTTGGCTCTAAAGGGAACTACAATCGTCCCTCATCGTGCATACGCACTTGCACGAGGAGGCAGGACGCCAGAAAGCCAACCATCAACCAACCGCGACGTGTTTTGCTTTGCTTTCTGTCCCTAGACCACTTGGATAACAACTCTCCTTGCTGCCATGTCGTGGGATCCTGGAGCAATTCTTGGATTGATGCTGCATTTTTGTCTCTGGTGTTGCTCAATTCCCTTCGCATGCCTTCAACGGCGGGAAAAGGCGGCCGCTGTATATGTGCGTGATATGCGAAGCAACGCACCGATCTTCAATACTCTTACGCGTATCGATGTGATGTCTCTCTCAAAACCTGCTCATTTCCCTCGCCCAAAAACTCCCAAACTTCAATGGCAGCAAACCTAGAAAACACTCGACCTGGCTGGTTTGATTGCCAAGGGTTGTTGTCTACAGTACGAGAATATTCCAACTCGGGTAGATGGGCAAAGGTCGCGCTCGTTTACCCGTCGTGGCACGTCTCCATGCTCCCTTTTTTTCTCACTTATCGAAGAGAAAAAAAAAACTCGTTGGCGGTCGAGCTTTCGTATTTCCATATCTCCGCGAGCAAACGCGCCATGAGGAGTGGTCAGGAGCTGCTCTGGGGGCACACACAATCAGGAAACACGATGCCCTTTCACACCACGTCCCTTCTGTGCCCTCACCCTGATTCTTCTCTCTGCCACCTCCCTCCCTCTCGGCGAGCGCCCTGTCTGTGACGTCTGTGTGTGTTTTCTGTTGCAGGTTGAGTTGAGTCCCGGGGGTTGCCTTTATTTCGGACGCAAAAAAACGATACCCCCCAACGTCGATCTTGCCTTCCTCCGACCCGCCCCGCAATTATCACCGACGCGAGCAATCACTCACCTGGTTTGAATGCGTAGCGTTGAGGTATATAGCCGTCCTTTCCTGTGGGGTTGTTTGTGTGGGCTGGCCCAGCAGAGGGGCGTTGCGCGCGATTGCTTTGATTCAAGTCACTCGCTTGAGTTTTTTTTTTTCATAAAAAAAATAAAAATGCAGGGGGCTCCGCGAGAGCTCCGCCTACAACAGGGTGCATACCGCAATTTGCGTCCCGCGTGCCAGTAGCCCAGTTCAGTTGCAGCCATAAAAGGAACTTGGTGCGTGTTTCAGGTTGGCGAACATGTACATGCATGGCCATAATCTATCCGCAACGACATGGAAGGTCACGGAGGACAGCAGCAGTAGTATAGGGACCCACCACCACCTTGGGATTTGTGCCATACGATGTGAGTCGTAGATTTTGCATGGATTTTCGCCCTTGCCCAGGTCATTTGGCAACCGCATGGTCCGATATCTCAGATGTACAGCAGGGTCGTCTGTGTCTGCCACTTGCTGGTGTGTGCTCTCTTTCTCATCGTCGCTCAACCGTTTGCCATGGGCCTGGTGTGCTCTGTCAGTGCCGTTGGAGGGTAAAAGTTTCCGTGTGCCGCGCAACGCTGCTGCACAGATCATCCTCCCATCACATCCCCTCCCCACACGCATACGATTCCTACGCTACAGCAGATCATCATGAACACACGATGCGGGAGGGAGTGCAGCTTGTAGCCCGACCCCATGACGCCCCTCACGAGGTCCCAGACAATGGCCACCCGCCCTATTGGGGGGGTGGGATGCAACTGCTACCCCTGGGATATTTGCATGCAGCAAGGGCGTCGGAGGTGAAGAAGTACACCTGCAAATGAATCGACCGCACATAGTGTGGACGCCAGATGATGCACGTTTCTCGCACGGGTTGCGCACTACTTTGTGTCGCCGAGGATCGACTGTATCGACTGTAGGGGCTGCGGCTCTGTTGCCCCGTGTTGACAGTAGCGCTGTCCTACCGCCCGGGCTGCAGCAGCCGTAGCGTCGGGAAGTTGGTCTGGCGTGGAGTTCGCGATGGCCAGCAGCTCATCCCAGACAACACGTGGAGCCGTCTCTGGATGCCATTGGTCTGCTATGTGCTGCCAAAACTGAGCAACTTCCTCTGGGTCCATGATGATGGTGGTGATTGGGTTACTTAGACCGCACCCCGGTCTTTGCGGGTACCATCACGCTCGCTGTATCGGGGCGGTCGACTTTGCCAAGGCAGCCGAGAGGAGCTCGGGAGGAGCGGTCACAACGAAGCGTCTACGGAATCAAGTGAGTCGCGAAAGTACCACCCACGATAAGTGTATGTTGCCTGTAGCCTGCTGGCTGGCTCTAGCCCCAACACGTGTGCATAGCAGGAGGGTGTCTTTCATGTGAGGATTCTGTACACATCGGAATAGTCTCGTGCATGTAGCTCGTGTCTTCGTGCGCTCCAACATGTAGACATGTACATCTACAGATATATGCATATGCATATGTCTCTTTTCTATGTAGCATATCTCCTCGTCTTGCTACAAGAGGAAACTACATTTGCTGTAGGTAGTACATGCTCGAAATCAACACATGCTGCATGTTGTGACGGTTGCAGGCGTGCCCATGGCAGTTGCTATAGGATGCAAGGACGGCGATACACATGTGTGCGTTGAGCGTGCTTCATTTGTCTAGACTAGGTAAATGTAAGTCACTTTCGAACTTCAACAACGAAAATGCGGTATGACGTGGATTAGGGGCAGCCTTTATAGACGCGCGCAGCGCGGCTTAAGTCAGACTGAGAATATCGCGCGTAGCGGGATTAAGCCCGCCGCAGGCGAAAAAATTTGGATCATCTTAATGCCTATTCCGCGTCTAAGTGTGTCTATCCGGCGTCTTAGAATTATAGGATTCGTCTTAACACATCTAAGTTTCGTCTAAGCACGTCCTTATTTCGTCTAAGTGCGTCTGTCTATGGCTTGTCTAGATGACGTATGCATAGTCATCGACGGTTCATTTAAGTAGGTTGAGACCGCTCTCACAACCTGTACACATGATGAAGGGGTCGAGTTTCACGACATGTTGGAGGTGTTCGATAGAGTGTTGTTCGAGGTGTATTGCACACGACTGTTGTGTACCTACAGGTTGCCTTTTACTCATTCGGTGTACGACAGAGTGGCCCGAAGAGTGAGTGGTACAGCAGTATACGCAGTAGTAGTAGTATGCGCAGATGAGCAGGTTCGCAAGGCCTTCCGTGCATGATATCAGCTACCATGGTACCAGGTACATGATATGCGTGTGCACCAATGGTACTGCTGTTGCACGGTACTATTTTCATGCAAGAAATCACGGACAGGTTGTACGGAGACGCTTTTCTCTCTTCTAATCGGGCCACCAGACAACAGGGAATAATACGGAAAATAAGGGAAAATTGCGGGCGAGCAACTTGCTCAAGCCTGTTATTCGATCCGGACTCAAAAAAAACTCAACACGACATCCA